CAGGTTAAGGCACTATCTACAGCACCAGTATCCCATATTGGTGCTGGTTTGAGTATAGGCTGCTCCACTTCCCATCTGATTCCCTGCTAAATGCACCTTGGAAAGCGATGGAAGAAAGCCTAAGTGCTTGGGCCTCTGCACCCATGAAGTAGACCCAGAAGAAGCTCTGGCTCCTGGCTTCAGCTTGGCCCAGCCCCAGCCATTATGGCCATTTGGGAAGTGAACCAGCAGATGGAAGATGTCTCTGTTTCTCCTTCTCATTTTTAAGATTTATTTGAAAGTCAGAGTTACAACAGAGAGAGATGCTAGCACTGTAGTAGTGGCTTTACCTGTTACGCCACAGCGCCAGCCCCCTCTAATTTTTTTTTTTTTCAATAAGATTTTGTTTGAGAGGTGGAGTTATAGAGGGAGAGACAGAGAAAGGTCTTCCATCCTCTGATTCACTCCCCAAATGGCTGCAACAGCCAGAGCTGGGTCAATCCAAAGCTAGGAGCCAGGAGCTTCTTCTGGGTCTCCCATGCAGGTACAGGGGCCCAAGCACTTGGGTCATCTTCTGCTATCCCAGGCCATAAACAGAGCTGGATTGGAAGAAGAATAGCCAGGAAATGAACTGGCACCTCTATGGGATGCTGGCACCACAGGCAGAGGAAGGCTTAGCCTACTCTGCCACAGCATTGGCCCCTCTCTAATTTTGACTTCCAAATAAGTAAAGTAAGTAAAAAAAAAAAAAGTATGTATGTGTATACACACACACACACGCACGCACATACACACAGAGTGAAGAGAAGTGCTAGGCTCATTTTATAATAGGCTACTCTTGCAGGAACTATGTTAATCCCTTCCCAAAGGTGCAGATGGTATACCCTCCTCCCCCTATCCTGTGACCTAATTATGTCTTAGTGTCCCAAGTGTCCTGCTACCTCTCAACATTGTTACGTTGAGGAGCAAACCTTAACATGAGTTTTCGAGGGGACAATCCACATCCAAACCATTGCAGCCTCCTTCACATCCTATATGGATCAAAGAAACTGGGACAGAATAACTGCAATAGATACTTGTGTTCACAAAGGGTGAAAGCAGAGCACGCAGAGGTCACTAATGGTTCTCAAATCCAGCCTGCCACATGGTGCCATTCCCCGACTCTGAGGCGTAGAGTGTTCCTGGCTGGGACCCATTTTTGCTTCCTGGAAGCATCTTTCCAATAAATGTAAGAGTTTGGAGTGGGCATTTGGCTTGGTGGTTAAGACACCAGTTAGGATGCTGAATCCTATATTGGAGTACCTGGGTTCAACACACAATTCTGGCTGCCAATTCAAGCTTCCTGCTAAAGCAGACCTTTGGAGGCAGCAGTGATGGCTCAAATGATTGGGTTCCTGCTCCCCACATGGGATGCCTGGATTGAGTTCCCCGTTCCTGACCTCAGTCCAGCCATGGCACTCATGCGCATTAGAGAAGTGAACCAACAAATAGGGTCTTTCTCTCTCTACCTCTTAAGCAGCAGCAACAACAAAAAGGGCCCTATGTAATCCTATTTAAATTGAGTTATTTGTGAGGCCAGCACTGTGTCACAGGTGTTAAGCAACTGTCTGCAGTACCAGCATCCCATATGTGCACCTGTATGAGTCCTGGTTGCTCTGCTTCCAATCTGTCTCCTTGCTAATGAGCCTGAGAAAGCATCAGAAGATGGTCCAAGTCCTTGGGCCCCTGCACCTATGTGGGAGACCCTGGAAGATGCTCCTGGTTCCTGGCTTTGGACTGGCCCAGCTCCAGCTGTTGAGGCCATTTATCTTTCTCTCTTTTTCTTTCTCTTTCTCAGTCTTTTTCTTTTTTCCTCTCCTTTCTCTTTCTCTCTCTCTTTCTCGCCTTCTCTCTTTATCCTTTTTCTTTTTAATCTTTCTTCCTTTCTTTCTTCAAGTAAATAAATAGATCTTTTTTTTAATTGAGATATTTGTAACATAATAGCACTTTGCACCATTCTTGGTACATAGTAGTCCCTCAAAAATGTCACTATAGAGCAGTAGTTTCTCAAACGATGAAGCTCCCACAGAATGTCCAGAACATTGGTGTTTAATGCTTTTTTACTGTGTAAGAAAGCTTAATGATAGAACATTTATAGATTAGTGATGCTATATGTCTTGAAATTTTTACTCATGAGTTTAAAAATATTTTGTTCTTCCCTATTTTAAAATCTATGACTTGAAGCAGCTCAGATTTGGTTGTAAGTTTGGCCTATGCAAATCCCACAGTGAGTGATGCTGTCTTGTTCTTTGCTTCACCTAGACTGAGGCACACTAAGTCCTTTGCGTCCACAGTCAACCTGTAGCAGAGGGTGTCCTCTGCCTCAGCAGTGTCACGTTCATTGATGTGAAACCATGAGGCTTGGATGGTTAGACAATACAAGCTTTCTTAATGTGGCTGCCTTTTGGGGGGATGAGCAAGTGGTAGAAGTGTGGTAGATTGTCACCAAAGATGGCTGCCAATCCTTCCCATCTGTGTTCATTGTTCACGTACACTGCTTCTCCTAGGAAGAGATAGTCTGTTTTTCCCTTCCTTGAATCTTGGTTGACCCATGCCTGACCATGACAAATGGCAGCAGTAATACTATGAGTTCTTTTTTTTTTTCCTTGTTTTTAGATTTATTTATTTTTGAGAGTCAGGAGAGACAGATCTTCTGTCCACTGGTTCACTACCCAGGTGGCCACAATGGCCAGTGCAGGGCTAGGCCGAAGCCAGGAATTTCAACAGGGTCTCCCATATGGGTGCAGGGTCCCAAGCACTTGCACCATTCTCTGCTTATTTCCTAAGCACATTAGTAGGGAGCTAGATCAGAGTGGAGCAGCCAGGACTCGAACCGGTGCCCACATGGGATGCCGGCACAGCAGGACGGTGGCTTTACCTGCCACACCACAACACCCAGCTAGCTATCCCAGCCAAGGTGCCAATAATCTGAGTGAAGCCATCTTGGATGGTTCAGCCTTAGCCATTTCCAGCTGAATGCTATCGCATGACATTCTGAGATACAGAAAAACAACCTGGCTAAGCTCCATGAACACTCACAGGTGTGAGAAATAGATCATGGTCTTAAGCAATGTAGTTTACGGAGTTGTAATGCAGTAGTAGGTAATTGAAACAGTCAACTTGATACCTGAGACCGTAACACTATCTTGTTTATATTTATTACTGTATTTTCTGATAGCAAAAGTTTGTGTGATGAAATTATGTCGTCATGGATGGTCCATGTACTCAGGGGCCCATCTGAACAAGTGTGGGAGCCACTGGTTGGGTTTAGAGAGTATGACCTCTGGGGTTATCACAGTATTTCAGGATAAGTGGGTTTACTTCTCACAGAATATTAGATACAATAACTACCCCTAAAGGACAGATAGTCATGTGCCATAAAGTAAATGGTTTATTCAATCCTTATAGACAAGCCTCATTGCACAGGGTTTTACAGATGAGCTAACACAAGCTGAGAGATAGACATTAGTTGCCTGAAGCCACACAGCTTGTAAGTAATGGAGCCAGGAATTAAACTCACAGTAGTCTAACGTCAAAGCTCATGCTGCCCCCTCCCCACCTCCAGGTTTAGGAACATGTGTGTTAACCAGGAGCTTAAGTCAGGAGATTGATTCCATTTAGAAGAATAAGCCAAGAGAAAAACATGGGAAAGAACAGAGCACTGCCAGTCAGGAGACCTAGAAGTATGATTATACAATCATAGGCAAACCCAGCTTTGAAGTTTTATGATTTTTTTTCTTTTGCCACTTTTGTTAAATACTTATTTGAATTTTTATTTCTTGTTTTAATACTTATTTGAAAGAATGACAGAGATCTATTTGCTGGTTCACTCCCCAAATAGCTGATTTCCCAATGACTGCAACAGCCAAGGCTGGGTGAGGATGTGGCCAGGAGCCAGGAACTCCATTGACGTCTCCCACGTTGGTGGCAGGGACCTAACTACTTAGGGCATTCTCTGCTGCTTTTCCAGGTGCTTTAACAGGGAGCTGGATCAGAAGCGGTGCAGCCAGGACTTGAACCTGTACTTCAATGTGGGATGCTGACATTGCAAGCATCAAGTGACCTGTGCCACATGCCAGCCCCAAATGTATGGTTCTTGATCATTAGCAAAGTAGAACTTTCCCTCATGGATTTAATAGTTCTGTTTCCTCTAATGTCAATTATTTTTGCTTTTCTATAGAGATTTTACATTCTTGTATAAACTCATAACCCTTTATGATCAAGCAAGCTGATTCTGTTTTTTCTTTATTATGTCCCTTTTTTTAAAAAATTCTTATTTTTATTTGAAAGACACACACACACTCTCTCTCTCTCTCTCTCTCACACACACACATACACACAAATCTTCCACCTCCTGGTTCACTCCCCAAATGTGTGCAACAGCTGGGTCTGGGCCAGTCTGAAGCCTGGAGCCTGGAACTCTATCCAGCTCTCCCAAATGGGTGGCAGGGACCCAAGTACTTGAGCTATCATCTGCTTCCCAGGGTATGCGTTAGCAGGAACCTGGATCAGAAGCATAGGCAGGACTTGATCCCAGGCACTTTAGTATAGGATGTGGGCATCTATGTGGCAGTTTTACCCACTATGCCACAAAGTACACCCCTCTTTTACTGTTGACTGATTTTAATTTTTTTAGCATATAGAAATGTTTGAAAACCTTTATAACATTGCATTTATACACTTTTAAAAAAGTAATTTGAGAGATCAATCTCCAACTCATAGGTTCATTCTTCAGATACTGGCAACAACTGCAGCTGGGCCAAGTCCAAGCCAGAACTGGGAACCCAACTAACTGAACTGCCCTCTGCTGCCTCCCAGGGTGCATATAGCAAAAAGCTGGAATCAGAAGTTGAGCTGGGATTTGAACCGTGGCCTCCAATATGAGATGTGGGATCCCAAGTGGCATCCTGGTTCTAGGCCTAACACCCACCCCTGTGGCCTCTCCTGCTGGACTGTATTTTCTGTGTTCTCTCCATTCCCAGGCACCCAACAGGAGGCTCTTTTATTCGTCCAAACAAGGTGAATTTTGGAATAGACTTTCTTACTGCAGTTAAGAACCGCTATATATTAGAAGATGGACCAGAAGAAGATGGAAAAGAGCAAGTTGTTGTAATTGGAAATAAACCTGTGGAAACTATTGGTTTTGACTCTGTTATAAAACAGCAAAGGTAAGTGGAGTTGATAACGGCAGAGCTGACTTTTTTTCATGGTTTCATCAAGGTTCTGGATTGAAATTCCCTTGACTGTATTTTGAGCCCCAGAACTTTGCTCCCAAATTGATTGTCCTTTCTATGTTAATAGCGAATGGAAATCTGAGGAATCCAAGAATTGACTCATCAGGGAAATTATTTTTCTAGATTGAAATTAAAATACTCACTTGTTAATTATTAATATTTATACCATATTTGTTGAGTAGTTATTAAATAACAAATGCTGACATTCTGGTCCATTGCTATTGGGTGGTAACATTTCCAGTTGGATTATAAGTTAGGAATGGAAGCAGTCTGAATTGTCACCTGTGTCATGTGCTGGTACCATCTTGTCATCCCTACCTCTGGCTTCACATCTTTTTCCCCTGGGGACCTTTGAAGCATGTGGAATCTTGGATCCCATCCCAGACTCACTGAAACAGAATTTGGGAGAATGGGCTCCAGGAATTTGCCTTTTTAAAATTTTTTTAAAATTTAATTTTATTTGAAAGAGTTACAGAGCAAAGTTTGGACAGAGAGTGAGGTCTTCCATCCTCTAGCTCACTCCCCAAACGGCTACACCGGCCAGAGATGAGCTGATCCAAAGCCAGGACCCAGGAACTTCCCCTGGGTCTCCTATGTGGGTGCAGAGGCCCAAGCACTTGGGCCATCTTCTGATACTTTCCCAGGGCACTTTAGCAGGGAGCTGGATCGGAAGTGGAGCAGCCAGGACTCAAACCAGTGTCCATATGTGATGTTGGCACTGCACATTGGGGCTTTAACCTGCTGTGCCACAGTGCCAACCCTGGAATTTGCTTTTAAGAGATGCCCCAGGCTGGCGCCGCAGCTCGCTAGGCTAATCCTCTGCCTGTGGCGCCAGCACCCTGGGTTCTAGTCCTGGTCGGGGCACTGGTTCTGTCCCGGTTGCCCCTCTTCCAGTCCAGCTCTCTACTGTGGCCCGGGAGTGCAGTGGAGGATGGCCCAAGTGCTTGGGCCCTGCACCCCATGGGAGACCAGGAGGAAGCACCTGGCTCCTGGTTTCGGATCAGCGCAGTGCCAGCCGTAGCGGCCATTTGCAGGGTGTACCAACGGAAGGAGGACCTTTCTCTCTGTCTCTCTCTCTCTCACTGTCTAACTCTGCCTGTCAAAAAAAAAAAAAAAAAAAAAGCCCCAGCCCAAGGGCACTAAATAATTTCCTTAAAGCTGCTGCTGCTGCCTGCGTGCACTGTGACTGCAGAGCAGCTCATTCCTCAGTGCGCGTGGGCCCTGGTGTTTGACCTGGACGACACATCCAAGTAGTGACACCTGCTGCTGCTATGAAGAGTCATTTGCAGCCAGGTGATCTAGGCCTGTAGTTTTTTACCTTCAGCCTCTAAAAAATAGACGCTCTGGTTCTTCTAAAGGAAATGCCTTGCTATCTGTTAAGATTAAACATAATATAAAATTAAAGTGCATATGGGTACAATGAAGAAATTATGGCACATCTACTTTTTAGGATAGATAGCTCCCATTAGAAAAAAGTTTTAAAAAGAATCTTATTCTAAGAATTTGTTCTTTAATTCTAAAAAAAATACATTTTTTGAGAATTTAGATGATATAAATAGAACAGAAGAAAGTTATAGCTAATGCTACTACCTAAAAATAGCTAATCTTGAGTAGTTTTTGCTGTTTATCCTGCCGATCAACTTGGCTGTGAAGAACAACATGCTTCATAGTGTTAGGAGTTCTTTGCTTTGTTCTTCCATTTAAATACAGGTGTTTAAATGCAGGTTTTTTTTTTTTTTCTTATTGGTGAATCTCTTCTAGAGAATCCCATGGGCTCTGTGAATTCTAACAGCTTGCCAGCAGATTTCCCCCCTGGTTTATAAACAGCCATCACATAACTCATGAATTGCCCTGCTACTGAGGATCATTGCAGTTCAAAGTAAGCTGGTGCATCTCTTGACTGAAAAGCTAAAATGGTAGAGATTCAGAAGTAGTCTGTTACGTTGGTTCAAGATTGATTTAAGAACTTATGAGGCATCTTGATGGAATGGAGCCAGTGTTAGAGTCAGGCCAGCTGAATTCAGATGTCAGCTAAGCCACTTCTGGCTGCAACACAGGTTGGAGACACTTTTCATTTCTTAGTCTCTGTTTTGTTCTTTACAAAATAGTACCTAATATGTCAGCGCTGTTGTGAATAAAAAATGTGATTGTGCAATTCATGGCAGCTGTTAGTGTTGGATAGAAACCTCTACTTTAAGCCATTGTCTTTTTAAAAATTATCTTTATTTGAAAGGCAGAAAGAGAGGGAGATCTCTCATCCACTGGTTCATTCCCCAAATATCATTTCTTTGTTACTATCCAGCTGACCAGCTTTGAGTTTGTACTTCTGAGAAAGTCTTTTACAATAAAAGGATGAAAACAAATAAAACCCATTGTGTATAGTTTCTCTTGGAGATGGCTTTGGCAATGGGGTGATGCCTATAATGAGACCTGGTTCCCATGCTTTGTACCAAGTGTCTTGGCCAAGGAGGGGTATTTCAAATTTTAGAGGGAAACAGCGCCATCTGTCAGACACAGTGTGAACTACTAGTTTGAGGTCGTCTACAGTTTGAGATTGCTGCAGTCCCTTTTGATGATGTCATATTCCAGCAAAGCTGGATTTTGGACAAGGGCCATGATGAAAAGCGGCATAGAACAAGAAATGGGGGTGGTGGTGTTTAACCTTACTGAAGGGTTGGGAAGTGCTCAGCAGACATGAAGTTGTTAGGGCCTAGCAGTTGTTATGTTGTTTGGTCCTGATTACACCCTAAATTGGAACATTGGGTATTTATTTTGGCGTGGGAACACCATGCAAAAGTTACAGAAACACCAAAGGTCCTGTGAACTGAGGAAGGTGGGGCGCCTCTGCCCTGGAGCTCTGCTGCACCTTTTTAGATTTGGTTTATTTGAAAGGCAGAGTAACAGGGAGAAACATAGATCTTCCATCTGCTAGTTCACTCCCCAGATGTTCTCAATGGTCAGGGCTGGGCCAGGCCAAAGCCAGGAGCCTGGAATTTCCCTCTGAGTTTCCCACGTGTGTGGCAGGGTCCCCAAGCACTCGGTCATCTTCTGCCTTTCCAGGCGCATTAACAAGGAGCTGGATCAGAAGTGGAGCAGCTAGGACTCCGATATAGGAAGCTTGCCTTTCAAGCAGCAGCTTAAGCCGCTACGCCACGTTTGACTCCTGCTGCTGTCTTCCTAGTTCCTGAGGGTTGTAATCACTCATGCTTTGCATTTTTAAAAAAGATTTATTTATTTGAAAGAGTTACAGAGAGGCAGAGTCAGAGGTCTCCCACGTGGGTGCAGAGGCCCAAGGACATGGACCATCTTCTACTGCTTTCCCAGGACACAATGGAGAGCTGGATTGGAAGTAGAACAGCAGGAACTCGAACTGGCACCCATACAGGGTACCGGCACTGCAGGCATCAGCTTTACCTGATAGGCCACAGTGCCGGCCCTCATGCCTTGCATTTTGATATTGTATTTCCCCAATTGTTGTCAGTTTCATGTTTACTTTTTTTTTTTTTAAGATTTACTTTATTTATTTGAAAGACAGAGTTACAGAGAGAGCTAGAGACAGAGAGAGAGGTCTTCCATCTGCTGGTTCACTCTCCAATTGGCCGCAATGGCCGGAGCTGTGCCAACCCGAAGCCAGGAGCTTCTTCCGGGTCTCCCACGTAGATGCAGGGGCCCAAGGACTTGGGCCATCTTCCACTGCTTTCCCAGGCCACAGCAGAGAGCTGGATCAGAAGAGGAGTAGCTGGCACTAGAACCAACATCCATATGGGATTCCGGCGCCTCAGGCCAGGGCTTTAACCCGCTGCACCACAGTGCTGGCCCCATCATGTTTACTTTTTTAAATACTTCTAAAATGAATCATTGGATAACAGGAGTATTCTGAGAGCTTCACAAATGTTAGCTTACTATGTTATTGTAGTGCTTAAATAAACTGTAGCAAAACATAGGGCACATAAAATTTTCCATCTTCAGTAAGTGATTCTAAAGTGTTACAGTTCAGTAGGATTAACTCAGTGCACATTGTTTTACAACCAAGTCTCAGAACTTTCAGAGTGTCCCAAACTGACACGCTGTCCTGTTAAGCACTCAGTTCCCCATCCCCTCCCCCAACTGTTGGCAACCACTGTGCTACTTTTTTCTTTTTTTTAAAGATGTATCTTATTTATTTGAAAGAGTTACAGAGGGAAGTAGAGACAAACAGAGGCCTTCCATCCACTGGTTCACTCCCCAGATGACTGCAACGGCTGGAGCTGAGCCAATCCAAAGCCAGGAGCTTCTTCCGAGTCCCCCCCAGAGGTGGAGGGGCCCAAGCACTTGGGCCGTCCTCCAGTGCTTTCCCAGGCCATAGCAGAGAGCTGGATTAGAAGTGGAGTGGCAGGGACTTGAACTGGTGCCCATATGGGATGCCCGTGCTGCAGGCCAAGGCTTTATCCCACTGCACCATAGCACTCGCCCCTTTGCTACTTTCCTTGTGACTGAATTTGCCTATCCTACAAACCGCATGTAAGTGGAATCTTAGTTATCCGTTGTGACTGGCTTATCTCACTTCCATGGTTTCACAAGGGTCACCCCTGTTGTAGTGGGCTGCAAAACCTCCCTGCTGAAGGCCGGTGGCCCATTGTATGCACGAGGTACATTTCGCTTGGGTTGTCTCCACCTTTGTGGCTGTTGTGAGTGATGCTGCTGTGAACTTGAGTGTGCACCATGGCACTCTCCAGATTTGAGGCTCAGAGATATTTGGTAACTTGCCCTAAAGTCAAAGTCAATCCCAGCAGTCTGGCTCTGGTTTCTGTGTTCCTCGATATTAGAATGTTCAGAATCTTCTAGTGACTAGAAAACACAGGTTGACTGGCTGCTGGGAGTGGTGGTGAAGCTGAAGCTATGCACGCTGTGCAGGGCCCACCCCTGCGAGTACAAGAAGTACCCGGGGGTGTTTCCTTCAGTCCTGCCGGAGACAATCTAGACTTCAGCAGAAGAGAAGTAAATTTTTGTCTCTCATGTAGTAAAATCTCCAAGCATGAGAACGAATGTGTCTGTGATGCTAAACTCGCTGCTGAACTGGTGAGGGAGAAAGAGGTAGGAAGCAGGAGACTCTACAGGGTACCATTTATGTCAATTTTTTTTTTTTCTGTTAATGTTTGAGAGGTAGAGTTACAAACAGATGGAGAGACAGAGAGGAAGGTCTTCCATCTGCTGGTTCATGCCCCAAATAGCTGCAATGGTCAGGACTAGGGCAGGCTGAAGCCAGGAGCTTCCTCCGGGTCTCCCACGTGCGTGCAGGAGCCCAAGCACTTGGGCCATCTTCCACTGCTTTCCCAGGCCATCAGCAGAGAGCTGGATTGGAGGAGGAGCATCCAGGACACCATCCGGCACCCATGTGGGATGCTGGTGCTGCAGGTGAAGGCTTAGCCCGTTACGCCACAGCACCGGCTCCCTTACATCAAGTTTTATAACGTACAAAATTGCTGTGATGGTGTAGTGACTTGGAATTATATAGCAGAAGTAATAAAAAAGCTTACGAGTAAATCAGTGTAAGATTTCCCCTGAGGAGTGGGGGAGCCCAGGACTTCAGCCACATTGTGAAGCTCGATTGTCTTCTCTTTGTTCCCCTTCCTCTCCTCCTCCCTCTGACAACAATTTATCTCTTGATTTGGGTGGTGGGTACTGGAATTTGTATGTTTTTGGTACTTTATGTGTCTGAAATGCTCTCTAAGTTTTAAAAGGACCAGTGCCTAGCCTGCTTGTATGTACGTGTGAACTCTTCTTTTTCTCACAGTGAGCTGAGCAAGTTGCAAGACATTTCTCTGAGAAGCTGTGCAGTAAGTGGTGCTGGTGACAAAGGAGGAATCGCCAAAGCATGTCCTAGTATCCTTTTCGCTGACAGGTTGGTTCTGGACTTGATCCTTGTTCCTGTGCTGGCTGCCCTGTCGATTGACCTTGACTCTCTTCCTAAACAGCTCTCTGATTAGTGGTGTTCTTTGTTTGTTTGTTTGTTTGTTTTTGCCACACATTGCTTTTGTGCCCCAAACTAAAACTATAGCAGGCCTTTGCCTGACAATTTATGGTCAGTTTTATCTGAGTGAAGGGATGCCGGATGAGCACAATGCCCTGAGAGAAACTGGAGCAGAGCTGTTCCCATCAGTGTGCTCCGAGGCCCAGGGGCCCACCGCTGCACTTTCGTTAACCCCAGTGTGCAGCACTGAAGTGGCTCTTTGCTGTGTAGGTGAGGCGGCCGTGGAGGGTGAGGGGAATGGAAGTGGACATGGAAGAGCATGTGGTGAGGAGCACAGTGCCAGGCAAGTGTCGGGAACGTTCCATGCTCTGGTCCTACTCCAAAATGGTTTCAGAAGCCCAGGAATTGGGTGATGCCTTGGTTCTTGTCAGCACACGAGGAAAGATGGGTCAGTGGACGGGTTTGAGAACGTGGGTTGAGTGGCTGATGAGAGTGGTCAGGAGTGGCCCTGACCATCCGCACAGTGCTGTTTTCTCTGCTCTTTCGTGGGGAACAGTCGCCCCCAGACTTGAAGGAAGGAGGTTTCCAGAGCTCATGAGGCCATTGTGGGTGATGGCAGATCCAGCGATGCCTCTCCTGCTGACCCTGGTTGGATTCCTGCCAGAGGCTGCAGTGTTGCTGGGTGTGGTTAGTGGAGCCAGGTTCCCTGGGGCTCATCTCTGAGGGCCAGGCTGGAGGCAGGGACTGGGGAGTGGGAGTGTGGCAGGCCTCAGCGTGTCCAGTCGGAGAGCTCCCTGGGATGGTGGTGGTGGGGAGATTGGCTCTGTGCTGGGGAGAGTTTGTCCACAGTAGCAAGGGGAGCTCCTGGAGGCGTGTATGGCTGACAGTGGCGGGTGGGGCTCTATTAACTGAGACTGTTTGTCCAGCACTGATGTTAGCATGTTGGTGGTCGCGTGCTGGCCTTGCCAGTAGCAGTATTTCTAGCCGTAGCCTACATAATGGGAAGTATCAATGAGGGAAGAATGATTGTGCTTAAACCCTTTGGACTAGCCTGATGACCCAAAGCGCCCCCGCCTGCAGGGCCGACATTAGGAGGTAGGGCCGTGGGGAGCCTGGAGCAGCAGCAGCAGCAACAGCTCACATCTGGATAGGCCTCCTCAGCCCCAGAAGCCAGTGGGCAGCTGTGAGGCCACGGTGCCGGACAAGGAGCCCGAGGGACCTGGGCGACGTGTGCCGGGTCCCGCTTTGTACACAGCCCGCGCCTGTGGCTTTCCCCCTCCTGCTGGACCCGGTTCCCTCGCTGCCTTGCTTTGACAGCACCAGGCCATGTGGCATCTCGGGGGTGGGGATGATACTTCTGTCCTGAATTTCTTGGTTATTTTTTTTTTAGGGAAAGGATTTATTGGGGGGAACCCAAAAGGCAGAGGGAAGGGGTGAAGAAGAAGGAAAAACAGGAGTAAGAGAGAGACCAAGAGAGAGACCGAGAGAAAAATCAAGTGACAGGCAGACAGAGAGAAAAGAGAGTGGTAGTAGTTTCTGTGTTCCACCTGTGCCCTAGGTCTTTCCTAGGCCCAGGGTTGGTGAGCTTTCTCTTAAAGGGCAGGACAGTGAATACTCTAGGCCTGTGGGCGATAGGCATAACCGTGTAGGCACTTGCATTGCCACTTCAAATTCAGCCATTCAAAAATACCAAAACTGTTCTTAGCTCTTGGGCCCTACCAACCCAGGCAGCTGCGGGCTGGCTCCGGGCCCAGGCCTAGCCGCCAGCCTGGCTCAGCACCCTCCCATTCCTTGCATCGCACTGCCTTCCTCTCCCTGTTCCTGATCCACGGGTGAAGCTTTCCTTTCTGGTTCCTGCCTAACACTTTCCTTTCCAGCCAGTCCTCAGGTAGGACGCTGCTGTTAGTGTCAAACCAAACACAAGCAGGACCCTTTCTCCGGGTTTTAGCCACGTTCGGTGACACCGTGTTGCATTATGGATGCTAGGTGGCGGTTTCAATCCACACTTGCTCAGTCCACACTCACCCAGTTCTCCGCCTGCCCCCACCTCAGCCTCTTCTGTGAGCAAGGAGACCACAGCGGTGAGCACCACACCTGGGTTGTAGGGAACAGCAGCAGCAGCAGGTGTGGTGGCGGCCATGGCGGCCACGGCGGCCACGCTGTCCCTGCTGCTGGATCTCAGGTCTGGCCCTCTGGCTGCTCCTCCACAGGCCCCTTGCCTGGAGGCAGAGTGCTGGGGGTCCTGGCTCCTCCTGCATGACCTTCCCTTTCATACTCTCCTCTGCAGCCCCTGCTGGTACCTCAGGGCGTCTAGAGTGTAGCCCATCCCAAATGCTGTCCCCTCAAAGCTGCTCATCCCGAGGCTCTCAGGAAATGACAGCCCTGACTGTACGGCCCCAGATCATGCCGTTGTCCTGGACCTTTGTTTTCTCCCGTCCCACATGCAAGTGCATGGGCAAACGCCGTCAGCGCCACTTTGAGGGCAGGGTCCCTGTGCTGAGCCTGGCTGCTGCACCCCCGCCCTCTGCTGCCCTGCCACCCAGTCAGCTCCCAGCACTTGACCCACATCCCAGAGCTCCCATGGTAGCCAGAGACTGGCGTAGCCTTTGAAGTGGCCCTCGAGGCCCTTTGTCACAGCGGCCTCTGTGACCTCCTCTGCAGCTCCCCGGCCCGGCTGCCCCAGGTCCCTCGGAGCTGGTGGCCCTTGTCCCAGGCGGAACGCGTTCCAACCACAGGCCTTCGCTCCTCCGTGTGCCTTCCCACGTTCCCGTCAGTCCCCTGCTTGCGTGTCACTGTGTTGGAGGGAGTGGTCTTTCCTATAAACTGCCTGCTTGCCCCCTCTCCTGTGTACCCTACCCTAGCGCCCAGAGCACAGGCTGTGTCTGATGCATGCTGGGGGCCTTGTGTGTCCACGTCTCCCTCACAGAGACTCGGCTTTGCTCACTGCTCTCCTCGGCCTTCAGTGACTGCTGTGCTTGGAGCAGAATCTACACAAGTGCGAGTGTGTAACCCTCCCCCAGCTGGCCCAGGCCTGCTCCAGGCTTCTTTCGGGTCTGTGTGAGGGCACCTTGCCAAGTGACGCCCCTCGTGCTCACTGCTGCCTTGCCGCTGGAGACCCTCGAAGTTCCCACATCATTCCTAGCACTTTTGAACATGTATCTAAGCTAACCCCTGATGTCCGCCCTGGAGTGATGTTTACTAGGGACTCCTAGGGGGCATAGTAACAGCACACGGTGGGCGCAGGGCATGTGCTGGGTGTGAAGCCAGCAGGTGCTAAGCTGTGCAGAGGGAAGGCCTGGGGGTACACTGCAGGTGCTTACTAACTCAAAGTCGCCATCGCTGGCTTTGCACCTTTCCTTTTTTGTTGGCTAATGCCAATGGTTTCTCTTTGACTTTGGTTCTTACTCATTTGATTGTAGATATTTGTCTCACATTTTGAGCGTATGGCAATGAACCTTTTAGTTTCTGAATGAAGAGTTGCATAAAAGATAAGAAAGTACCATATATTCACGGAACAACTCCAGCAGAATTAAGGTAAAGGCTGCAAAGTGAAAACTGAAAGATTCTGTGCTCTAGACTTAAGGAACTGCTTTTGCTTTTCCTTGTCTTTTATGAATCTGTTGAATTGCTGCTTCTTAACACGTGCTTTTAGATATTAGGAAAATAGATTTGTCAAAAAACTTGCTGTCGTCATGGGAAGAAGTGATATGCATTGCTGACCAACTCCAGCACCTGGAAGTTCTCAATCTCAGGTATGAATTTGGGATTGTCAGAAACAAATTCCTACCTAACTTTTCCTGGCCGCCTCACAGGGCTTCTGTGAGGACAAGATAGGGAAGAGAATGGAATTAAAGCTGCCGCCTGGTCAGTGTCCTGATGCAGGCGGGTTTTGGTTCCCGGAATGTACCGAACATGAACTTCCTAATATGAAGTGATTCCTTAGGAAGCCATGTTTTGCTATTTCAGTTGGGTGGGAGAAGAGGTAGGCTGATGTACTGAGCTAGATCTTTATACTTCTTACGTAAACCTGACCATAAAAAAGTGGAACATTTAGTGGAGGAGGAGAGGGATATTTTTCAAAGAACTTACCTATTTGGAAGTTGCTAGCCTTTGATTGCAATAGGAATGAGTAATTTCATTGGGATAATGTTAATTCCCTCTTGATAGATTTTTCACTAATCTCCCTGTGTTACTGCTGTCACGATTTTCCAGGCCTTCCTGAGTTGATGATTAATTCTAATTAACTTTAATTTTTCGAAGGGCTTATCCAGGCATCCCCTTTCAGATTTGAACCATCTTTATGTATGCATGTGAGCAGTGCCTGGTGGAGGCAGGTACAGTACGGCAGGTAGCCAGGCCTAAATTAGTTGTGCCTCAAAGTAGTGGAAATGAGTGTAGAAATGTGACGCAGCGTACGTCTCCTGTTCTGAAAATATGGGTAGTGCTTTTTCATGCTGTCCTCTTTTGGAGGGATTGAGTGCCTTCTGAGATGAGGCTCTCGAGAGAACTTAATGGGCAGTCATTTATTTCATCCATCCTAATAGCAAAAGGACAGACTGTTAAGAGAGGCAACCTGTAGGCCGCCACCTAGCCCATCAGCAAGGCCCGAGAGCAGGACTTCATTTTGCAGTGGCCAGGGCTGCATCTTGTGAAGCTGGGAGGCAGCCTGACAAATGCCTGTGTTTCAGGAAATCTGCAGCCTCCCGATGCTGTCCTAACCTTGTTTTCAACACCATTGCCTGTCAGACACCCCAAAGTTGTATGTTGTAAATATTAAAAATCAGGTGGCCTGGATTCATTTTGTTTTTACTAGAATTTTATTATAAGGTTCCCACAAACCAAGTCCCTCAGATTAAATCCCAACTTGTTGCTTGCCATGACTGTTTCCATTGAGCCTACTGTATACCAAGAAGTGCATTGTTACCTTCTTTTTCTACACAGTGAAAATAAACTCAAATTCCCTTCGGTTTCACCACCTCTAACGGGGACATTCTCTTCGCTGAAGGTGTTAGTCCTTAATCGAACAGGGATAACATGGGCTGAGGTAATCATGTTTCTTTGCTTTATTACACAATTTAAATTGTTTGGTATAATAGAGATGGAAGGACACTGTGTCTTCATATTAATCATCCTGTTATCCAAATAATAGGATTCATTAAGCTGCCTTACAGAAAGGAGCTAAAAGTCATTGTCGTTAAGTAGAATTTTACATTTAAGAATCCGTATTCTCATTCATTCTCTGTCTTGTCTCAATTTGATTTGTTCTGGTGACTTAATGTTCACAGTGGTATGCAGTATAATGCATGCCAAGCTTTTAAAAGCCCTAGTGTCCCATGGCTTATTGAGCTTTTAGCTCCCTGAGTTTTCCTGCAATATTTTTTTAAAAATTTTTTGAGAGGCAGTTAGAGAGGGAGAGATAGAGAGCAAGGTCTTCCATCCTCTGGTTCACTCCCCTAATGCAATGGCTGGGACTGGGCCCGGCTGGAGCCAGGAGCTTCTTGCGGGTCTCCCAGGTGGGTGCCGGAGCTCAAGCACTTGGGCCATCCTCCACTGCTTTCCCAGGCCGTAGCAGAGAGCTGGATCGGAAGAGGACTTGAACCAGTGCCCACATGGGATGCCGGTGCCTCAGGCAGAAGCTTAGCCTACTTGCAGGATTTTCTAGAGCAGGAGCCAAGTGGCAGAAAGATTCTCACGTTCTTTTCTCATCTGCAGTTTAGCTCCTAGAATCCACTGTTGTATTCGGCAAGGTTCAAAGTGGATGTGTGGGTCCTTGGCCCGGGAGCATTGGGCACCTATCTGGCACTATTTCTTCAGGGGTTTACTGACTTCACTTATCCAGGCTTATCCACTTATCCACTTCCAAACTTAGTGCACAGAAGTCCATCCCCAGCTCATGCATGGAATGCCACAGAGGCAGCCCCCCCCCCCCCCTTTTAAGATTTATTTATTTGAAAGAGTTACACAGAGAGAGAGGAGAGGCAGAGAGAGAGAGAGAGAGAGAGAGGTTTTTCCACCCGATGGTTCACTCCCCAATTGGCTGCAACAGCCAGAGCTGTGCCCATCTGAAGCAAGGAGCCAGGAGCTGCTTCTGAGTCTCCCACGTGGGTGCAGGGGCCCAAGGACCTGGGCCATTTTCTGCTTTCCCAGGCCATAGCAGAGAGCTGGATTGGAAGTGGAGCAGCTAGGTCTCAAACCGGCACCCATATGGGATGCTGGCACTGCAGGCGGCAACTTTACCTGCTACGCCCCAGCTCCGCCCTTTAACTTGTGTCCTTAATGTGCCTGCAGCCATGGTGCTCCCTGCCTCGGCTCCTTCCTTGTCAGGCGCTTCCTCCCTCTCCAGGAAGGGCACCCGGTGGTAGAGAGGGCAGGGACGCTGAAGTAAGAACATTTGCAGTTGTTGAGAAATCTTCTCGGCCTAGTATGTTCTTTGCAAACCCAGGCTGACATCTAGAATTGAGAACAGGTGCTTACCCTCAGTTTCCTTCCTTTGGCTAAGCGAACCGTGAGTATGTCCAGTTCACTTTGTAACTGCCTTACCCCGACGGGCAGTGCCACCTCCCGCGGTGGCTCTGTGCTGCGGTGTTACATGCAGGCCTTTAACGTGCTTGAGGTGCTGTTGCGGGAACAGCAACTGAATTTCCGTGCGGGTGCTGGGAGTGGGCACGGGGCAGGAGTCGGCCATGGAGGCCGTCCCCCTGACTTGCGTTCCCTTCCAGGTGCTCCAGTGTGCCTCTGCGTGGCCCGTGCTGGAGGAGCTCTACCTGGAGTCTGACAATATTTGCATTTCAGAAAGGTAACAAGACTTGATTTAAGTGTAGGTCACCATTGAGTCATTCCGGATAAGTAAATGGTCTCAATTATACGATTACTTTTTTGAAGGGTTTGCAAATAACAGTTAGAAAAATACTTACTCACTGCCTTCCCAACTTCAAATGTCAACTGAAACGTCACTGATTGGTTTGAATCAAGGGGAATCATTAAGGCCCTGAATAAAATATACATGAAATCATGAATTTTCTAAGTTTTGCATAAATATATTTAATTTGCTGTTTCTAAGTGGAAGTTCTACAGGATATGTTGTAGGGATTAAATAATATTTTTAATTATCTGTTTAAGGCTAGTGTACTAAAGTGCATGGAAAAGCCTGTTCTCTGAAGTAGATGTGTTGTTGCCTAATCTTTTTATTAGTATCACTAAATTACTATGTAAAATGAACTTAAGCATGGGAAAATTTACAACAAATTATTAAAGGATTTAATTTAATAAGCTTTTGTTGTACATGATGATTTCATTCATTATATGGGCAAATGCAGGTATTTTTTTTTTAAAGAGATTTATGTATTTATTTGAAAGTCGGAATCACAGAAAAAGCTTTCATCCACTGATTCACTCCCCAAATGGCCGCAACAGCCAGGGCTGGTGCCATGGGCTTTTTCTGGGTCTCCCACATGGGTGCAGGGGCCTAAGAACTTGGGCCATCTTTCACTGCTGTCCCAGGCGCATTAGCAGGGAGCTGGATTGGAAACGGAACTTGAGCTGGTACCCACATGGGATGCTGGCATTTCAGGCAGTGGCTTTATCTGCTACACCACAATACCAGCCCCACAGGTATTTTCAAAAACAGTTTGAGACAGAATCACATACAGTTAGAATAGAGGGGCCAGTGCTATGGCATAGGAGAGTAAGCCTCCTCCTGCAATGCCAATATCCCATATGTGTGCCAGTCCAGCTGCTCCACTTCCAATCCAGCTCCCTACTAATGGCCTGGGAGAGCAGAGGAACATGGCTCAAGTGTTTGGGCCGCTGCATCCGTGTGGGAGACCCTGGAAGAAGTTTCTGTCTTCTGCCTGGTCCAGCCTTGATCGCTGCAGCCATTTGGGGGAGTGAACCAGCAGATGGAAGATATCTCTTTCTCTCTCTCTCCTTTTCTTTCTGTATCTCTGCCTTTCAAATAAATAAATTTTTTAAAAAAAGCTCTTGGAAATAACTCTTTATTATTTTATTTAAGGAATGCAACTTCATGCATTTAATATATACAGATTTGGGAACATCAGGATTCTTCCCCCCCTACCTCCTTCCACCCATACTCCTGTCCTTATTTCTCCTCCCTCTTTCTTTCCCATTCTTACTTTTTAGAGAGGTCAAGTTTTCAGATAACTTTTATACTCATAAAATTAACCCTACACTAAGAGTTCTGATTAGTATGAAGAAAAAAAAAATTGTTCCTTGACAGTCAAGGCAAAGGCTGATCAAAATCAACGCATCTTTATGTGTCAGTTTTGCTCCTATAGATTGCATTTTAGCTGCTCTATTAGTTACCACAGATTAGAGAGACCATATGGTATTTGTCTTTTTGTGACAGGCTTATTTCACTAAGTATAATGGTTTCCAGTTGCATCCATTTTCTTGCAAATGAAAGGATTTCATTTTTTACCGCAGTGTAGTATTCCACAGTATATATATACACACCATAATTCCTTTATGCAGTCCTCTTTTGATGGTCACCTGGGTTGATTCCGTATCTTAGCTATTGTAAATTGTGCTGAGATGAATATGGGGGTACAGATCACTTTTTTCTTAAAAAAAAAAAAAAGAAAGAAAACTCTTGGAACTAACAACAACAACAAAAAGTAGTAGTAATAGAGATTACCTGAGTCTACTGCCGTTTCCCTGGTTGGGAACAGGTGGCAAAACTGATCTAGAGTCACAGACAGTGACAGGTAGTCAGGAACCTCGCACCACAAGGATCCCCCAGGTTACCCTTATAGTCATACACACGCCAAATGCCGCTGTCCTAGGGCTTTTTTTTTATTTATTTTTTGAGATAATTAAGAGGTGATTCAAGTTGAAAAAATTTATTTTCCAAACAGGCCTACAGATGTTCTACAGATGGTCAAGTTATTAGACCTTTCCTCTAATCAATCAATTGATGAGAATCAGCTGTTTCTGATAGCATATCTGCCCAGGTAATCTGTACCTAAGATGCCCATTTTGCTCATGCTTACTACATTGTTAGTGAATGAACTTTTGTGTGCTATATATACTTTCTCATCAGAAACATGATGATGGAATTCCTAAATTGAGTAATTCTCTTTGGAGAATTTTTCTTTGAATTCATTGAGACTTGACTTGCAACCCATGTACAATGTAGACTATGTCTGTACTCGATAGCTGAATGACTGAGCTGACCCTGGTGAGAATGCCAGTCTCTGTTCATTACACTTGGGGAAGTAAGACCGTGCATGACTCTGTCCTCTGAGACTACTTGGCACCTGGCTCAGCCACAGGCTCCCGGAGCTGTTAGAGGACGGTGGCATCATTAGGATGCAGCATGGAGTCTCTATGCATTTCCTGCCATGGACTTTGTGGGTTCGAAGCATTCCCAAAGGATGGAATCTCAGGGTGTGCGGGAAAACTTAGAAAGCTAGTCTGGTTGATAAGCCTATGGCATTTCATACTGTTCTGTGTAGTAAGATTTAACATTTTAAATTTCAGATTAGAACAACTGATCCTTTCTAACACTGGGATTTCTTCCATCCATTTTCCGGATGCTGAAATTGGTATGTAAGATTAATAAAATTTCCTTCACCCATCCTTGAACTCTTTCTTTCACCTCTGTGTAACCTCCTTCTCCTTTTTTTCTAGGGTGCAAAACATCTATGTTCCCGTCGTTGCAGTACCTTGTAGTAAACGACAACCGGATATCCCAAGTAAGAGCGTCTCCAGTGTGCACAGCACCTCACCGCTGATGTGCACTCTCCTGGTGGGGTTGGTAGGTTCCTTCTGTTAAAAACAGTGAAACTCCTCTTAGGAAGTCGAAATATCAAGAAGTTAGTTTTATTCCCATTTAAGCAAATTGTATTTATTTTTTAAAGGTTTATTTATTTGAAAGGCAGAGTTAGAGAGGCCTTCTGTCCAATGGCTCACTCCCCAGACTGCCGTTGTGGCCGGAGCTGTGCCGATCAGTAGCCAGGAGCTTCCTCCAGGTCTCCCACACGGGTGCGGGGACCCAAGGACTTGGGCCATCTTCCACTGCTTTCCCAGGCCACAGCAGAGAGCTGGATCAGAAGTAGAGCAGCAGTTGGGACTGGAACCGGCACTCTTAGGGGATGCTGACACTGCAGGCGGTGGCTTTAACCCCTACGCCACAGCGCGGGCCCCAAAGCACACTCTTTAAATGGCACAGTAATGGAGCAAGAGCAAGTGGTCTTGCTAGTGTGGTGCTCGTATGTGATGGAATTCCCAGCCTCAGATTAGAGCCTGGGGCTTTGTTTCTCTGTCGCCAGTTCAGATCACTGACAGAGTGGCCTGGAACATGATGCTTTTCTTCTTTCCCTTCGTGGGTTTAGTGGTCGTTTATCAATGAGCTCGAGAAGTTACAGAGGCTGCAGGCCTTGTCCTGCCTGAGGAACCCCCTGACGGCCGCAAGCCCAGACAGCAAAGAAGCGCAGACCACACGGCAGCTCATCATCGCCAAGATCGGTCAGCTGAAGACCCTGAACAAATGCGAGGTGGGCGCCCGCCTCGGGCCGGGGCTTGGGGGTTCTCTTTCAGACTGTAAAATAGGTTATCACAAAGTATGGAGAGAAATCCTACTTGAATACGGGCCGATCCCGCCGCGCTGCGCCCTGGTAAGGGCACTGAAGACTCCTGCGGCAGAAGCCTGCTGTGCTGCTGCCCCCGCGCGCGCAGGCTGGGGCCCGCAGCATGCTCTGGTGCTCTGGGGGCCGAGGCGGCGGAAAGCCTCCCTCCTCTGCTTCGGCCCCTCTTCCCCTGGCCGGCAGCCGGGGCCGCCTCTTGGAGTCAGCCAGCTCCTCCTGCGTGGGCACCTCCAGGCTGACCCTGGGAACTGGCCCTGGTGGACACGTGCTCGTTCTCTCCCTCTCAGTGAAACTCCTGAGTGCGGTCGGAGTTAGAGCAGCGGCCAGCGGCAAGGGCGGGGAGTGAAAGCCCGTACGGAACTCGCTGGAGAAGGCCTTACCAGTGCACTCCCTGCCCCTCCTATCCACCTAGGTCCTGCCGGAGGAGAGGCGTGGAGCCGAGCTCGACTACCGGAAGGCTTTCGGAAGTGACTGGAAGAAGGCTGGTGGGCATCAGGATCCGGACAAAAACAGGCCCAGTGAAGACTTCCTCGCCGCGCACCCCAGGTTCCAGTTACTCTGCCTTAGTACGTACTGCGGGGCGGGGCTGCCTCTCCACCGGCCAGGTTGCCCCTGGGTACCGAGGGAGGTTCTCCTGCTGCTTTCGGCCTGTCGTGGCGCTGCCTGTCCTCATTTAAATGGACTGTAGGCCCCTTGGGGCAGGCAGGTAGATGAGCAGCCCTGGGCAGGAACCTGGCAGCCCGGGTAGGTTCACAGGGAAGGGAAGGCGCCTCTTAAATCGAAGTCCCTCTCATGGTGGCGTGTGTTCACCAGAGAGGGTAGCTGCAGGCGGTGGGTCACACTCTTCACCCAGGAAGGGGGAAGCACACCAAGGTGCCTGGCTGTTACAGCTTCCCAGGGCTCACTACGGTGCAGGGAAGTTAAGAGTGGGTGCTCCCACCCAGGCTGTGGTGCCGAGGGCGTGTTGGGGGCTTGCCATGGAGGGTGCTTCCTCAGGCTTGGAAGCTAAGACCTCCTGAGTCTTTGTCCGTGATGTACTTTCCCATTTTGTTTTGATTTCATTATCATTCTACATCTCACTTTTATGTGATTTTCTTTTTTATATATTTCCTAATGCAAGAAGCTCACTGCATAAACGCTTTAGGCTGGAACATTATCTTTGAGGAAGAAAAGCCGCCTTTGGGAATTGCTTTCAAATTACTCCATTAGCTGGCCCAATTTCCTGGCCACTCTAGGTGAATTCTAAATCACGTGGGGGTAGGGACGGGCAGGCTCTGCTGCAGCAGTGGGGCACTGTGGTCGTTTGGCTAAGAATGCCAAAGGCGGAAGCAGATCAGTGGGGGCGTGCAGAGGAAATCTGACTGGTTGGCCTAAGGCAGGAGAAAGTAACAATAGATCCTCCTCCTCTAACGCTTGGCTTCCAGGTTTAAATCGTGGGCCATTCTGACTGGCATGAAGTCTTGAGCTCTCCCACGCTCTCTCCCCCAGGACACGCATCAATCCTTTGTCCCTTCGGTCCATGCCATATACCCTACCTGCCCTGTAGTTGAGTAGCCATCTGCATTGTCAGGGTGTCACGGTGCTTGTAACCACTGTTTTACTTAACGGCCCCAAAGCCACAGCACAGTGACGCTGGCGACTCAGATATGCTGAAGAGAGGCTTTGCAGTTCTCATTAAGTGAAAAGGTCAAAGCACAGGAAGATATTGAGTGACCACATTCATGTAACTTTTTAGTCTACTGTAATTGCTGTATTAATTTATCTAATTCACAAATTATATACATTATCTCTGGTATGTTTATTTAGGAAATAGCGTAGTATATATAGTGTTCACTACTATGGCTTATTTCAAAAGGCTCACGGAAAATGGAATTAAAAGTTAAGAGCTTCTGTACTCTTACAAGTTGTATAAACTTTTCCATAATACATGGAAATGTATGTTATGAAAAAACTACACACGGATTTTTTTTTTCGGTACCAAAGTAAACTCCTAATTCCATTTCCTGTGTGCTTTCGGATGTCCACTTGCAGCTGTGGTTGCTGGCGTTCACTGGGGAATCCTGTAACACAGCAGGGGTGTGCACTCCAGGCACAGGAGTTAGTGTGCGGTGGTGTCCCTGCCACCCAGCCTAGTACTGCATGACCTGGCAGAAACCTGCTGAATGTGTCCTATGACTGGTGTCCCCACAGTACCCGACATTCCCCTCAGGCCGCAGCAAGAAAGGAAACTGTTAGCAGAGGGGAAGCTGGACAGACGCTCGCCGATGTGCAAGCACAGTTGTATCTTGCTAGTTGGAGTCAGGGCACCGTCGGCCTTTGAGGAACGAGAAGGTGGCACACAAGTGACAGAGGATTCCACCCTTGGAGGTGTGGCCGCCTAACTCTTCTAACAACTGCATAAAAGGAAACAGATCACAGCTTAGCATTCCTGCTGATGCTAGAGTATCCTGGGGAGGGAGAAGGCTCTGCTGACACCCACCTGTAGACTAATTCCTTGCAAGGCCTTTGGTTTAGCATTCATTTCTTTTTGTTTCTTAAACAGAATATGGTGCACCTGAGGATGCGGAATTCCAGATACAACAACCATTTATGCTCAAAAACCAGCTGCTAAGTGAGTCCCACATTCAAATACAGCCTGTTGCTAATGTACATAGCAATGACCGGATGGGGATGTGTTTCTCTTAGGTCAGTGCCTGAGTCTGTGAGAAATGATGAATTCTCAACATTAGATCTAAGTTCTTAGGTTGGATGTTTTTGCAGCTCCCAAGCTTTAAACCCAACGTGTTACAAGTAGGGGAAGGATCTGAGTAGTGAGTTGGCGGCCTGACTTTAGAGCTGGCTTTTCACGTGTGAGAAGTGTCAGCAAAGGCAGACTGAGGGGAAGAGAGAAAGCCACAGGATGTTGGTCTGGCTATTTTTTGTTGCTGATTCATGGAAATATATGGAAATAAGAATTGAAGGGATTTTCAAATCATTGAGACCTGTTTTTTTGTTTTTTTTTGTTTTTTTTTTTAATTTATTTATTTGAAAGGAAGAGTTACAGAGAAGCAGAGAGAGGGGTCTTCCATCCACTAGCTCATTCCCCAAATGGCCGCAATGGCTGGAGCTGCACTGATCTGAAGCCAGGAGCTTCTTCCAGGTCTCCCACGTAGGTGCAGGGGCCCAAGGACTTGGGCCATCTTCTACTGCTTTCCCAGGCCACAGCAGAGAGCTGGATCACAAGTGCACAGCCAGGACTCGAAGCAGCGCCTATATGGGGTGCTGGTACTGCAGGCAGCGGCTTTACCTGCTATGCCACAGCGCCAGTCCCAAGACTTGTTTCTTTAATAGGTTTGATCCAAGTTATACTGAACAGCTGCATTAACTTGTTTGTATAATGTAATTCTTCATCATAGTATCAATTAGCCATTTCCCTTTTTCTCTTTAAAGCACTGAAGATAAAATATCTTAATGAAATGGATCAGAAAGTCCTGGAGAAACAACTGCCAGGTATGAATGAGAGCCTCTTTTCCTTCCATGTATTTCTATTCACTGGCCCAGGTAGGAGTCGACTGGAATGAAAACACCCAATTCATATCTCAAAGTCTGGACCTCAGAACTTAGAGGTTTTCATTAGTCTTACATGTTCTAAAACATGCAGATACTTTTTTGAAACAATGAAATTTTAAAAAAGGTAAGTTTATTTTTGTGTAAAATCTTTTGCAATCTAGGCATTGCTTTTCCATAACACATACTTTTGAGGAGCTTTTGGAAGGTCTCTTGTACAAGCACTCATGCTAGAACCACTCCTCCACCCTTCCAATTTTCAGGTCTCCCATGTTATCAGCTTATTTAGAAAACAGTTTTAGGGGCCAGCGCTGTGGTGCAGCGGGTTAATGCCCTAGCCTGAAGTGCCAGCACCCCATATGGGCGCCGGTTCTAGTCCTGGCTGCTCCTCTTCCAATCCAGCTCTCTGCTTTGGCCTGGGACAGCAGTGAAAATGGCCCAAGTCCTTAAGCCCCTGCACTTGCGTGGGAGACCCGGAGGAGGCTCCTGGCTCTGGATTGGCTTGGCGCAGCTCCAGCCGTTGCGGTCATCTGGGGAGTGAACCAGTGGATGGAAAACCTCTGTCTCTGCCTCTCTATAACTCTTATTAAAATTGGAAACCCCTACATGCTCAGAGGAATGCCCCCAGCCCACTGCTGTGTACTGCTCAGGTCGTTAGCCTGCAGGTAGGGTCGTTCTTATCCTCCCCTCAAGAAGAGGGAGCAGGTCCTAGTGAATCGGACTGTGAGTCACTGCGACATCTGTGACTCTTACATCCTGTCCGTACTGACCAGAGCTCCTGCAGGCACCATTCTCAGATGCTGTCGTCTTCTTTATTTATTTGAGAGGGAGAGAGAGAAAGGTCTTCCTTCCATTGGTTCACTCCCCAAATGGCTGCAATATCCAGAGCCAAGCTGATCCGAAGCCAGGAGCTTCTTCCGGGTCTCCCACACGGGTGCAGGAGCCCAAGTACTCTGGCCATCTTCTACTGCTTTCTCAGGCCATAGCAGAGAGCTGGATCCGAAAAGGAGCAGCTGGGACTAGAACCGGCACCCATATGGGATACCTGCGCTTCAGGCCAGGGCTTTAACCCGCTGCACCACAGCGCAGGCCCCTAAAACCATTTTCTAACTGAGCTGATAACATCAGAGACCTGAAGGTTTGAGGGTGGAGGAGAGCTCCTAGCATGATTGCTTGTACAAGAGACCCATATGGGATGCCGGCACTGCAGGCAGAGGATTAACCTACTGTGCCACAGTGCCGGCCCTAGATGCTATCTTCTGACAGATGCACCGAAATGGGCTTTGTAAACACTACTTCAAAAAAAGAAGAAAAAACCTTTAAAATTTTTGTGCTGTTGGAACTGAATTAGTTTAATGTGGAAAATAAATACTTTGGTGGCAGTAAATTAGATCAACATTTAACTTACCTTCAGCTTCTACTCAAAAGAAAAATTATATTTGAGTGTGCTATGATACTGTGAATTCTCAAGATTAACTCAGTTCATAACTAAATGCTGAAATACAAACATATTAAATGTAGAACAGTAAGGATCTGAAGATGAAATGAAGTAAAAATTGGCCTGCATGACCAGTGAACCTTCTTTGCTTGTCAGCGCAGTAAATTCACATTGATTTTTAAATTAGCTTGTATCAGATAAACAAGCTCATTCTGACACTGCGTGTGGGAGGCCATGGTCGTGTTCCAAATACCTTTCTGATTGAGAAGCATCAAGTTCATGTTAATTTACCAATATTTCTCCACTTTTTGCTTTACTAACCATTAATTTCTGTTTCTGGGATCTGTACTTTTGCTTGTTTTATGCAGTGAATTTACAGTTCTTCACACTGTCCGTAAAGGCCCTCTTAGGGCCGACGACGTAAATAAAGAGGACCAGGACCTTTAGGTGATGGCACTGGCTTCAGATGTCTTTGCATTTTTCCTTTCTCTTTGCAGACAAATCAATGCATGGGACTGCTACCACTATGGGCTGTTTTCCCAAGAATATCGTAATTAGGCCTGAGTTGGGCTTTCTCCTCCAGGCTCTCTGGGAAGGCACTGAGACAGAGCTGGGGACTGGGGTCTAGGCCTGTGTGGGATTGCAGTCCTGGCCTGTGGTGACAGTCCCATCCCCTTCTTTTCTTCTACTTGCACACCTGAGTGGTGTCCCTGTCTCTAGAGATTCAGTTACTCATTCTGAGAACACTTACTATGTCCATGTTCCATTTACAAGTAGCAGAGATTAAAATTAGCCACAGAAATTATATTTAATAATCACTGCTGGGGCTGGCGCAGCAGGTTAAAGCCCTAGCCTGAAGTGCCAGCATCCCATATGGGCACCGGTTCTAGTCCTAGCTGCTCCTCTTCTGATCCAGCTCTCTGCTGTGGCCTGGGAAAGCAGTACAAGATAGCCCGAGTCCTTGGGCCCCTGCACCCGCGTGGGAGACCCAGAAGAAGCTCCTGGATCCTGGCTTTGGATCGGTGAGGCTTCGGCCGTTGCAGCCATCTGAGGAGTGAACCAGCGGATGGAGACCTCTCTCTCTGCTTCTACCTCTCTCTGAAACTATTTCAAATGAATAAAATAAATCCTAAACAAAAACAAAAAAACAACACTGCTTTAAGCTATTCAGAATCAGTTCTATATCCTATAAACACAGCAGTAAGTCAATAGATTACATGTATTCTTAAAGATTTTTTTTTTTTTTTAACTTATTTCAAGTCAGGGTTAGAGACTGGGGGGACAAAGAGAAAGATCTTCCATCTGCTGGTTTACTCCCCAGATGACTGTAACAGCCAGACTAAAGTCAGGAGCTTATCCTCCCCATGGGTGGCAGGGTTCCAAACACTTGGGCCATCTTCTGCTACTTTTACCAGGCCATTAGCAGAGAGTTGGGTCAGAAGTAGAGCAGCCAGGACCTGAACTGGTGCCCATAGGGGATGCAGGTGTGGTAGGTGGTGGCTTTACCTGCCGTACCACAATGCTAGCACCAAACTTCAAAATTTTTTGAACCAAAATAAACTTTTTAATTCCATGAACTCTTTGAAAATTATCTTATGTAATAAACAGAAGTTGAAACTAAGCTATGAGCTTAAAGCTACATAAACATGAGGCTAGTGGCAGCCATATTGAATATCAGTTTAAGACCTTCTTTCTCCTTGGATGCATGATAGTGCATTGTACGCTTGTACCAGAGTTTATCCAAACATTTTCCCACTGTAAACTAATTTTTTACAGCCCCTACAATTTCACCAAAAGGATTTACTCATTTTTTATTCCAGCCATTATAGTTTGTTATTTTGCTAATCTGATAGGCAAAAACATTACTTTTCTTGCATAAGGTTTAGGAACACATGGGGCTGGCATCGTGGTGTAGCGGGTGAAGCCACCACCTACAACGCCAGCATTCCATGTTGGTGCCAGTTTGTGTCCCAGCTGCTCCACTTTATCCAGCTCCCTACTAAAGGCCTGGGAAAAGCAGAGGATGGCCCAAATATATGAGTGATCCAGATAAAGCTCCAGGCTTCACACACCCTTTATACACCAAAATTTTAACACTGGTCATAGGGAGATGAAAAGACAAGTAATTGACAATGTTCATATTTTTGAATGTTAAAGTAATCATGGTGCCATGGGGAGGAGAGAGGGAGACAGATCTTCCTTCTGCTGGTCACCCTCCAAATGGCTGCAGTGGCCAGGCTAAAACCAGGAGCTTCTTCCAGGTCTTTCACGTAGGTGGCAGGGGCCAAGCACTCGGGCCATACTCTGCTGCCTTCCCAGGTGCACTAGCAGGGAGCTGGACAGGAAGCAGAGCAGCCAGGATGCTGGCGCTGCAGGTGGTGACTTACCTGCCGTGCCACAGTGCCAGCCCCCTTTCCCCACCCTTTTCTTCTACAGACTGAGTGCAAGTAGGCAGATGTATTATCTCTTTGAAAGGCAGACTGACAGAGAAGTAGAGATCTATCTGCTGGTTCACTCCCCAGATGGCTACACTGGGCAGGGGCCCACACCGTCATGCCATCTTCGGTTGTCTTCCTAGGTGTATTAGCAGGGAGCTGGATGGGAAGCGGGGGAACAGGTACTAGAAACAACACTCAGATATGGGCAAGCCAGTGTGGCAAGCAGCAGCTTACCCCGCTGTACCACAACATGGGCCCCAGAATTGTTTTATGACCAACCTTTTTGTTTCTGGCATAGATTTAGGCACCTAAAATGGGCATATCATCTCCTCTAGAAGACTGCCAGCTCTAAATGAAACCTACGTCTTTGAAAGGACTAGATTACCACCTATTTACCAACAAAATTGTAACTAAAATATATCTGTACATTAAATCCATAAAGAAAAGACCAGGTTTTTATTCTAAAATAACATTTATTATCACAAGTTGCATAAAAACACACAGCTTTTAAAAAAATGATTTGATAGAAAAATATTTGTTTGAATACACTGTGATATTTGTAGGAACACCACACTATTGCCGTACCTCCAGCTAAAGCTTCAAAGAAACTATATTTCTCATAAGGAAAATATCCAATATTTACCACAACCCTCTTTGGAAAGAAGTTCTTAGTGTTTTCTGAACAAACCAAAGCATTTACTGTTCAGCCCCACTCCCGTGCCTGGCGGTCACTTGGGTGTGTATTTAACACAGTCACACACTGTGTAGTTACGAATGCAATGCTACGTGGGGTCTACATGTTCATTTTACAAGGAGGAAGCTAAGGCACCTACGCCCCCTCCAGAGTTCTTTCAATAATTGGTAAGGAAGGAATCACAAAGGTTTAAAGAGAAAATGTAATGATTTCATGCCACTGATTGTTCTGTGCAGGGATGACTATTTCTGGTTTATTCAGATTAATGAAGAAACAGCAAACAGTACTAAAATGGAGTGAAAGCGTGTCGTCAAAGGGCACTTGGGTCAGTTCCCACAGTGTCAGCCAACTCGCGTCTCTGCCCTTTATGTGGGTAGCAGGAAACTGCAGACACAGCTGTCCCTCCAGGCCTGCTCTCGGCACTGAGCTAGTTTTACAGGTACCTGTCCTTTTGAGAGAACTGATGGGATTTTTCTTTTCCTTGACAGACTCCATGACAGTTCAAAAGGTGAAAGGACTGCTGTCACGTCTTCTCAAAGTTCCTGTGTCAGAACTTCAGCTGTCCTATGAAAGTCCCAAAGTAAGTTGCCCAGCAAAATGCAAAGCCAATCCTAGCTCCCCACTGTTGGCAAGCGATTCCAGCTGTCTCCCTGTAACACTGACTGCAAATGGGATCACATGTCTACCAGGCAGTGTGCCGGTGGTTTTGTTTCTGACAGGGAGGGTACATAGAACATGCTTTGTTAGATCGGTCTTAATCCTCTCTCCCTCAACCTTTGTTCTAATTTTAGATGCCGGGCAGAGAAATTATACTAGAAAATGACCTACAGTCACTGCAGTTTTATTCTGTGGAAAGTGGAGACTGTCTATTAGTGCGATGGTAACACCAACAAATACAATTTAGAGACTAAACTGTGTATCATGACCAGGGTTCACTGGAAATAAATGATTCAGGTAAAACAAAGGATGTATGTTTTGTTGGGAGGAAACTATTTCTAGGGTTTGTATATAATAGCATAATAAAGGTTTTCTGATCTTCATATTTATTTTTATAGTTCATCATTGCATCTCATGTGTAGATTTAAATATTAAATAGAAACTAGCTAGTCTAATGAAGTCTGAACATAGTTAATGTCTGCCATAAGACTAGTAATAATGGAATTCTCTATGGATACTACTTTTAAAAGGTTACTAAAATGATTTGGTTGCTCATTTTGGGACATGTCCCTTACGCTTAAGGAAACATGACCTCTACTATGCATAACGTAAATGCTATCATCTGTCTTCTCAGTTGTACTAGCTGTAGAGTACTTAGACCAGTCACCTGCCTTCCCACAGACACACCTCCACTGAGCGTGTCCTTCTCTAGAAGGCTGCCAGCTCGGAATGAATGCCACTTGCATGGGGGAGCACTGGGCCGTGGCAGGAAGAAACAGAGTCCTGACGGCACTAAAGCCCTGAGAAGTGTTTGCTTTTTCTTATTCACGAGAATTTGGCATTTTTTTTTTATAAAATAGGAGTACCTAACTGTGATCTTTAGGACTTAAGTTCAACAGCAAAATCAATCTACTATAGAAATGATCTTTAAAACGAAGGTCCAGAACTTAGAATTATATTGGCTCTCTGTCAAGTTCAAGTCACACACTTCAGAGATCCCCAACTTTGGTATAAGTGACCAGTGCACAGAAAGCACCCTATGATCACACAGCATTTCTGTGAGTTCTTTCTGGCCCCCAGTTATCCTAATTAAGCTATTCTGCCATTCACACTGAAGTTGAAATTCTCCATGTACTACTCAGATTTTCTGAATGCGGCCAAGTTTTAACCAGAAGTGATAAGTAACGATGACTACTAACTAGCATTAGCCATATGCGTCATGACTTAGAAATCTTTCTTTTATAAAATAATGTGGAACTTTTATCTTCCAACATACGGATAAAAGCTTCTTTATGCTATAGTATTTGTGGTTTTTACAAAGGACATCCGTGCGTGTGGGAAGAATGCCACACTGGTTACAGGTAACAGGGCTGGCCCTGCTGTCTACTGCCCAACCGCGGGCTTGCCGCAGCTCACCATCCACCTACCACACTTCCCGCACTGCCACTTCCAGTCACGGTTACGTGGCTTCACACTGACAGGGGTCGCCGCACAACTCCTTCCGTCTCCACAGTTCTGTTAGTTCTTGCGGTGAGTACTGAGGGGAAGACAACATCCCTGTCTCACAGGTCTTCTCACACAGCCACAGGCTGTCCTGTTGGAAAACAACACAAGCTGACTTGAAGTTCTGGAACTGTGTGAAGAGGGACCGAAAGCATGCACACAGGCAGCTTGTATGTTTTTATTTATTTTTATTTTTATTTTTTTTTATTTTTTGACAGGCAGAGTGGACAGTGAGAGAGAGACAGAGAGAAAGGTCTTCCTTTGCCGTTGGTTCACCCTCCAATGGCCGCCGCGGCCGGCGCACCGCGCTGATCCGATGGCAGGAGCCAGGAGCCAGGTGCTTTTCCTGGTCTCCCATGGGGTGCAGGGCCCAAGCACCTGGGCCATCCTCCACTGCACTCCCTGGCCACAGCAGAGAGCTGGCCTGGAAGAGGGGCAACCGGGACAGAATCCGGCGCCCCGACCGGGACTAGAACCTGGTGTGCCGGCACCGCTAGGCGGAGGATTAGCCTAGTGAGCCGCGGCGCCAGCGGCAGCTTGTATGTATTCTAATGAAGCTGGAAAGATTCCGGTGTAGAGCAACTTGGAAAGGGCAGGGGTGGCCTTTCTTCATGCTGGGAAGGGGCCAGCTCTGTAATGGAGTGGCTGTGGACTAAGGAAACCACGGGGTATGTGGATTAAGAGTTAGCCAGTGGAATTCCATGAAGCTTGGAAACCATAAGTGCGGAGTTTAATATTTGCTACCAAGAAAACATGGTTATATAGCAGTATTAATAGCTACTATCATATTGCAGACTAGACTATACCAAGTGTTTCTAAACATTACATCTTACAGTAACCCTGTGAGGTAGGGATTATTTCCCTTCTTACAAATGAGAAACTGAAACAAAGCATTATGTAATTTGCTCAAGGTCACAGTGTTGGCAAAGTGTCAGGACGGATTACAGATATCAAACCACAGATATCAGAAATGACCACAGAGAAAATCATTATGTCCAGAGGTATGACAAAGAAACAGCAAAGTCGAAGCTGCCCCGAAGCAGCTGGGTCTGTTCCTTGTCCATCTTGGAACACGGAGTGCGCTGCTCCGAGGTCTCAGTTCTGTGAAGAGTTCCCACCCACAGCACTGCGCGTTCCTTCTGACCCCGCACCTTCTACAACCCAAGTGCAAGTTTCAAGAATCCAGAATGTCACAGAAATCTGAGGCAGAGGACAGCTCTGTGTTTGCTTTCTGCCTACTCTCCATTTGGGTCTCTGAAATGTTATCTCTCTTTCTGGTTCAGTAATCCTATATTTAAACCAGCCTATGATATTTTATCTAGTGTTTTCTTTGTAACGGTCAAAAGCTAGGAAATCAAGTCAGTAGATTCTACATTACATTTTAAAGCTGTGAAGAACTTCCAATCAAATCTGTGAAGTTGAATTATCATTTACAGGTAGAACTTCGATTTATAACATTTCTTTTTGGCTTGGATTCAGAAAAAATGCCGTAAGAGGGGTGAGCACTTAGCATAGTGGTTAAGACACAGCTTGGGATGTCCACATCCTGCGTCCCTGAGTTGGAGCCCCAGCTGTCTGTCAGATCTGGTTTCCTGCTAACACATACCCTGGGAGGCAGCAGGGGATGGCTCAAGTTCTTGGGTCCCTGCCACCCATGTGGGAGACCCAGATGACGTTCCTAGCTACTACAGGGATGTGGGGAATGAACCAGTAAACAGAAGACCTCTTTCTCTCTGCCATATAAATAAATAAATAAATATACATTTTAAAAATACCACGAGAAACAGTCCAGGTGAATTACTGTAGATTAAGTGTAGGGCATAATGATGATGCCAGGTTTTCTTTGAGAGACACACAGCGTGCTCCTATCTGCTAATTCACTCCCCAAATGCCTGTAATGGCCAGACCAGGCCGAAACTGGGAGTCAGGAACACATTCCAGGTCTCCCATGTGAGTAGCAGAAACCCAACCATTTCAGCCATCACCATGGCCCCTGAGGAGCTGCAGGCGGGGTGCTGAACACAGGTGCCAACGTGAGACACCAGTGGCCTCACCAGCTTCTTATTCATTGCACCAGTGTTTGTCTCCTGGAAGATTCTCCATTCTTTCTGCCCAGAGTTAGATACATACTATACAGAAATATCTTTTCCTTAACTTAAAACACATTTAAAAATTTTTCATTTTATTTGAAGGGCAGAGAGAATTCAATTCTATCCACTGGTTCACTTTCCAAATGCCTGCAACAGCCAAGTCTGGGCGAGGCTAAAGCCAGGAGCCAGGAACTCCATCTAGGTCTCCCATGTGGGGGGCAAGGCTATGCTCCCTCCCAGGGTCTGCATTTGGCAGGAAGCTGGGTTGGAAGTGAAGGAGCCAGGACTCGAACCAGGCACTCCGATGTGGATGCAGGCGTCCTCAGCAGCTACTTAAGCTCTGTGCCGAATGCCCACACCCATTTCCTCAAGCCTTAACGCTGTGGCCAGTCTCCCCCCCCGACCCAGGGTTGCTTACCTGGTATCTTCTGGGTCCTATGGCAGCCATCCAAATGCCCATGCTTACATCTTCACCCTACACATGTCCCATAAAGTTTAAATGTAAAACGTTAAATGCCTTTTCATTTGTAAAGGCAATGCCATACCCACTCTCAATATACAAATTTTCTAAGTATGTGCAAAGTAAAAGCTTGCGGCCATTCGTGTGAGGGAACCACAGCACAAGGTCATGAGAATACAGCCAGCATAGACAGCCTACTCTTCTCATGCTCCCTAAACTGAAGAATTTAGGCATTAATAGTATTAAAGACACAGTGGATGCACACAGAGCTGCTCGCTGGCCTCAGGCCCCGAATCAGCAGAGGAAGCACTCCTTTAGTCTCCCTCCTCAGGAACAGAAACACTCCTGTTCCTCCAGGGGACCACACTGCTGAACAGCAGGCCGAAAACGCAGTAAGGAGGCTCAAGCAGCACTCAAGGATAGATGAGAGCCACGGTCCGTGGGCTGGCAGGTGTGCTCCAACCTCTGAGGGGTGTGTCCCCGGACTGCTGGCCGTGCTTTGTGTGATGGAAACTTGGTTTGCTGAATCAAAGCTTAGGTCCGAGTGTTCAGTTACCTGATAGGTCTTTAATCTCCCCGCGTTGCTCGCCAGCCAGCCAACTATAGCCCTGGAGATCACATAGCCCGACCCACACGCAAAGGCAGGGTAAGCAGGGCTGGGGTACTCCAACTCCTGCCACTTCCCGGTTCGGTCAACGGCCCAATTCAATCTGAAACTGAGATTCAGAATAATGTGGCTCTTTGTGTTGGTCTCTTTCATCACTGATACAAAGGAATAAGCTTGTAAAAGGCGGGACGAACAAGAAACTACCTATTTTTAATCTAACAACCGCTGATCACTGAAGCTGCATATAAAAGATTAGTATATTAAAACCTCTCGAAGTTGCAACTGTGGAGTTGCTGAATAGGAAGCATCAGATCACCATGTAAATGTGTACTAAAAAAAAACCCCAAACCAAAAATGCAATGAAAAAACAAAATCACTAATCCATGCCGTATTCCTGAGGAAGCACAGAAAATGGTTTCAGAAATGTGTCACAAATGTTATTTTTTTTTTTAAACACGCAGAGTGGACAGTGAGAGAGAGAGACAGAGAGAAAGTTCTTCCTTTGCCATTGGTTCACTCTCCAATGGCCACCGCGGCCGGCGCACCACACTGATCCGAAGCCAGGAGCCAGGTGCTTCTCCTGGTCTCCCATGGGGTGCAGGGCCCAAGCACTTGGGCCATCCTCCACTGCCTTCCCGGGCCACAGCAGAGAGCTGGACTGGAAGAGGGGCAACCAGGACAGAATCCGGCACCCCGACCGGGACTAGAACCTGGCGTGCCGGCACCGCTAGGTGGAGGATTAGCCTATTGAGCCGCGGCGCCGGCCACAAATGTATTCTAACATAGGACACTTCATATCTCAACCACTTTTTCCTTGTGGAAAAATAACTTGCATATTTCATTCTAAATTAATTACACTTACTCAGGTACATGAATGCCAATAGGTAGTAACATTTAACTTACTTTCCCCACCAAAAATTCGGCCCATCCAGATTCTTTTGGGTGATTCTATTAAATACAGCCTCTAAGTCTATGTAACAGTCATCATCTGTCTTCAGCAACAAATCAAAGCTGGTTGTTCCCACAGTCCTGTTGACAAAAAAGGGACGTAAAGTCATCGTGACCACATGGAGAGACACCACCTTAGGGGGCATCACTAACATTTCCACTCAAAGCTGCCCGTACTTCCTGGATGCTCTCAGCGTCTCTCTCCTCAAAGCACTAACTGCACACTGCTGCTCTCGCCCTCACTTGGTGTTCGCAAGTACCAAGCTGGTTTTAAAAGGTAAAGGAAAAACAACACAATGAAACATAAAGTAGAACAAATGTGCACACAAGTGCTTCTTAGGCATCATTCAGCTCAGGCTGCCAGATGTGTTTTTGAACATTGCCCCACGTGCTCCCAGTGACAAAGGCCCAGGACAATGGGACAGGTGCTGTCTCTGGGCCTCTCACAGAGAGCACTCTTGTACAAGATGCTTCCACAGTCTTCCAGATATGTTGTATTCAAGCTATGTTATGGTTTAAAAAACAACCGCAACACGGAATCCTATTTTTCCCTTGGGATTAATTTCCAGCAATTATGAAACAGGCTTGGTGCTAGTCACCAAAGTTGAGTTACGAAGTCCCTATTTCTTAAGTTGGCTTTACAGACCTTATCACTAAGCTAGCCTAAACTAGTTTCAGTCACGCAGGCTGGCTAGCTGAGCAGCACACGTACAAAACCGCACTGAGATTTACCGATGACACCTGGAACCAAAGTGAACCTCACCCCACAAGGCCCACTCCAAAACCAAAAACTGGAGACCAGCAGAAAAAGAAGAGCCGACAGGTACTAACACCCGCGGGGCGGATGCTTCCTCACACCCACCTCCCCACGGTCCTGCCGCAGGGCCGACCAACCAGACACTGAACTCCAGTGTGTCCACCGCTGACTTCTCTCCTAACCCCATGTAATTCACCCCAGACCCGCCTGCATGGACGCAGATTTGGAGGCAGGGGGTGACTCCTTGCTGGCTGGTCACAAAAAGGAAGCCTTTCTTTCTCAAAAGGCCAGTGTTGCCGCTCGGTATGTGTGCACCAAGCGGTGGAGCTTCCTTGTTCTGTAACAATCTATTACGTAGAGGACCGTCTGGACAGCACAGGAGGGCAGTTTCATTTATCCAAACACCAGAAAGCATACACTGGCAACGAAAGACAAAATGGACTCACTCATGTCATCTCAACAATCCCTATGCAGCACTGTTTAAAAATGCAGAGTCTTGCTCACGACCCAGTCTCATAACAGAATTCTCCATGGAAGAAATCCAGAGAAAGCTGTATTCGGTCAAAGAATGGAAAATTTAACAGTGCATCCACTCCAAATAGCATAGACCTGTTTCTTAAGTTTATTTCTTATTAACAGCAAAAGGCATTTATAATATTTACTTGCTAATTAGAAATACAATTTTGTGACAAAGGACATACAAGTCAGACTTGGATGAATAAAGGAATGATACCACTCTCAGTGTGGACAGAGACAGGTGGCCCGCGCTACGGGAAGCAGCACATTCCCACTGCAAGGCTACTACAGAAAACCAGGTGCAGAGGCGACGGCATGAAATAGACAGGATAGTGGAGATGAGGGGACAGGCTCAGAGCTCACAGCTGGAGGAGGCGTGGAAGAGAAAACACTGAAGGTGCTCTCTGCACTCAGTGGAACTTCCAGAACTGGGAAGCATCCCCTGCAGAAAAGCCTAGAAGCGCACAGGCCTGATTCCCCAGCTCCCAGACCTCCATTTCCATCCCTCACTCCCCCACTGCAGCCTCACTTACAACTGGGACTCCCCTGGGTGGCTGTGAGTTACAAGTGTGTGTGTGTGTTAACAGCTGTCTGTTCTAGATACAGTCCTGTTCTAGATAACCCCAAATTTCCAGCCCTCATTTTCGCCTTTCCTCTTGACTCCAAAATTATATTAATAAACTTATTAGACTACCTACCCCTCATGGGTCCAGGAACCATAGCCATAAGGTATTTAATAACTTCCCACTCTGCCTAGGGCAATAGAGAAGAACAAAAAGAGGTCTTGGCCACACCCACACCAGCAGTCCATAAATAAGACACAGTTTTAAGAAAGAAAGGACAAAGACTGGAATACCCTAGACAGAGAGCTATTATTATATATTATTGTTGCTATCATCATATTATAAAGGTGGTGATTACTAAGATCCAAGAAACAATGAAGGGTCTAGGGAGTTAGAAGTGTGATATATTCTAAGGGCTGCTGAATTTTACTGAGCCATCTATATGAGGGTATTTGAAAAAGTTTGTTGAAAATAGAATTGAGAGATTTTCACCCTAAAATTTTTTTTAAATCCATGCACAGTGTTTTCATAATACATACTTTCCACGTACTTTTTCTTTTTTTAAACATTTATTTATTTATTTGAAAGAGTTACAGAGAGGTCTTCCATGCACTGGTTCACTCTCCAGGTGGCTGCAACAACCAACACTGAGCCAGGCTAAAGCCAGGAGCTTCATCCGGGTCTCCCATGTGGGTGGCAGGGGCCCAAGCACTTGTGCCATCTTCCACTGCCTTTCCCAGGCCATTAGCAGGGAGCTGGATCAGAAGTGGAGCAGCCAGGAAATGAACAAGCGCACATACGGAATGCTGGCGCGCAGACGGTAGCTTTACCCACTATGCCACAGCACCAGCCTCCTTTCTATGAACTTTGTGAAGACCTCTGTATGCATGGATTTCAATTTTTTTGGCACCAAAATAATCTTTTATTTTCCACAGACTTCTCCAAGTGCTCTTGTATAAGAGTTCTGGAATCAAGGCTAGTAGTTTTTAAATGGGTAGACTAGAGAATGGAAGTAGAAAGTAACTTACACTGGAACAGAATTCAAATTAGTAACCTGGGCATGAGTGCTTGTAATGGGGGAATTTAGGAGACTGGGTATGAATATAACTGAAAGGGATCATTTCCAAACTCATGGATTCTCATCTAATGCTAGCTTCACAACCAAGGCATACAGAAATGACTCTCAGCACATCAGTCTTTGGCTTGATTTTGATTGGCTCATGCCGTTCACGCCACAGATCTGCTCATCAAAGTACGCAAGGGACGGACAGCATTTTTGGCATTTTTCAAAAGGAGCTGAGATACAACAGGTCACATCCCAGGTATTCAGCCATCTTAGGTTTCTTTATTTGTATTTTTTGGTTTGATGCTTCTGTACCATAACAACAATAAAATACAGTAACACCCAAAAGTTTTATAACCTACCAGCTATAGAAGTTCAATAATTTTGCGGGAACATTTCGGTAAGTGTCGACCACATCCACAAAAACAATATCATCATAGATGCTGCTCTCCTCCTTCAGTAAGGCATCTTCCTCGTGGAGATCTCTTATGTGATCAGTAAGTCTCCGAGGGCGGGAATGAAGGCTGCGTAGGAGCGCGTCCCCTTCTAAAAGGAAAAGTAGAGAGTTACAGAAACGTGCTTGGATTGCAAACTTAAGACCAGAATTTATATGATGTACATACACTAAAACTCTTTTCCCAAGAAAAATACACTTGCTAGAAACTTTAAGGAGGGAAGTGGGGACTACCTACTATTGCTAGAGGGAGAGTAAATGGACACACAAACTTTGGAGAGCAATCTGGCAACACCCAGACTAAAGATTGCTCTGGTAAACCTACTGGTAGATCTTATCCCAGAGATACTGCTGTGCGTGGTCACAAGGATATTCAATGCAGTATTCTTTGTAACAGGGGGAAAAAATGGGAGTGCATGTGAAACAAACCTCAATGCTGACAGAAAAACAGCAACATTTGTGGCATATTCTAATAGAAAACAACAGTAAAAAATTAACCTGATTGTGCATATTCAAAGGAATGGTACTGAAAAATGTAGAATGAAAATTGCTAAATGATATATATGCTATGATACCAGATATCAACTGTAAAATACTCAGGATTATATGCTATTTAAGACGCGTAAATGTGTCCTGGAACAGGAACAACAGGAAGCATACACGTGAATTTCAGGGCAGTGACAGCCCCTCTGAGGGGGAGAGAGAACAGAGGCAGGAAGGGAGGGGTCGGAACTGTTCCTGTAGTGTTTTATTCTAAAAAAAGAAAACTGGAAGTAAATATAATAAAACATAAACGTGTTAATTCTGAGCAATGGGTACTGTGATGTTTCTTATAGTACTATTTCTTTTTCTTCAAGGGAAATTTACTTATTACAATTTACTTATTTATTGGGGGTGAAGGTAGGGAGGGGATCTCATCCACTGGTTCACTTCCCAGATGTCCTCTACAGTCCAGGGATTGATCAAGCCAAAGCCAGCAGCTGGGAACTCAATCCAGGTGTCCCACATGGGTGGCAGGAACCCAAGTACCTGAGCCACCCCCACTGCCTCTCAGGGTGTACGTCAGCAGGAAGCTGGAGGAGGGGTGGAGCCAGGACTTGAACCTGAGATGGGATGCAGGCGTTCCAAGCGGCATTTTAACAAAACACCCACTCCTATTTCTGGCAATTATGTCGTGTCATAATAAAAACGATTACTAATGTGACTAAAGACATTTTATTTGCCATCTCATAAATAACTTACAACGTGGGTGCAGGAACCATGGCCAGAGCCTGGGAATTTAAGGCAGCAATTCGTTCACTAGGGCAGGATAGGTCAGAATTTTCTCAGCATCTCACTCATTAAGAGAGACATTGTGGTACACTCACCTAACAGAATTCAGCAGTTAGAAATTAAGGTGATCTGAAGACTTTTTTTTTTTTTTTTGACAGGCAGACTGGATAGTGAGAGAGAGAGACAGAGAGAAAGGTCTTCCTTTTGCCGTTGGTTCACCCTCCAATGGCCGCCACGGCTGGTGCACCGCGCTGATCCAAAGGCAGGAGCCAGGTGCTTCTCCTGGTCTCCCATGGGGTGCAGGGACCAAGCACTTGGGCCATCCTCCACTGCACTCCGTGGCCACAGCAGAGAGCTGGCCTGGAAGAGGGGCAACCGGGACAGAATCCGGCGCCCCAACCGGGACTAGAACCCGGTGTGCCGGCGCCGCAAGGTGGAGGATTAGGCTATTGAGCCGCGGCGCCGGCCTGCTGACACATGGAGAAGGGACAGGAAGCAGCAGTGTGGGACTCCACTCCTCCTCACTGCAAACAGGGTGGGGGCCTGAGGACCTGTGGGATACGTGGCTTCCACTCTACCACCACGTGAGACACAGGACACACTGCAAGCATCCCCAGTGACACCCGTGGGCTGCAGCGTCATCACCCGCACAGAGCTAGCTGAGCTGAATCAGTGGTCCCTGGGAATGCTTACTACAATACAGGTTCCTGGGCCCCAAGCCCAGAGTCCCAGTAGGTCTGGGGCGAGGCTCAGGCCATCTCTGTGAGGGACAGCCAGAGCCTACACTCTGAGAAACACAGGTGTAAACCATATCTCGTCCCTTATGACTCTACATTCCATTGTTAACATCCCCTCTTTAAAGGATGCATATAAATAATTTAACATTGAAAGGAAAGTGTTACAAAATTGCAGTAACTGAAAAAGCTGGTAACAGGATGAGAAAAGAAATTAAATATAAGCCTTTTACACTATTCTTTTTTTTTTATACTGAATATATCTGAAAAACAAAAGTATACAAGAAATGAGAATGTCCACTCTCCCCACTGTACTGTACGTTACAGCCAGGACAATTCATAAGAAAAAGAAAGTAAAGGCATCCAGATTGGGAAGCAGCATCAAACTATCTCCACTCAGGGCTGTCTTTGTGGTGCATTGGGTAAAGCTGCCGCCTGGGATGCTGGCATGTCACAGCTGCTCCACCACTGATCCAGCTCCCTGCTAATGTGCCTGGGAAAGCAGGGGAAGATGGCCCGAGTCATTGGGCCTCTACACCCAAGTGGAAGACCCCCAAGAAGCTCCTGGCTTCACCCTGGCTCAGCCTAGGCTGTTGTGGCCATTTGGGGAGTGAACCAGTAGATGGAAAATTTCTCTCTTTCAAATAAATGAATAAATCTAAAAAACAAAACAAAACACCTATCTACTTATAGATTACATGATTGTGTAGATGGAAAATCCTAAGATACCTATGAAACTATTAACTAATAGATGAGTTAAGCAAGGTTGCAGCATACAAAATCAATATATAAAAATCAATTGCATTTCTATGTAACAGAGAACAATCTAGAACAGGAATTTAAAGAATAGTTCTAATTACATCAGCACCAAAAAGAATTAACAAATCAGGGCCAGCACTGTGGCATAGTGGGTTAAGCTGCCAACTGCAGTGGCCAGCATCCCATATGGGCGTATGTTTGAGACCTGGCTGCTCCACTTCTGACCCAACTCCCTGGTGATGGCCTGGGAAAGCAGTGGAGGATGGCCCAAGTGCTTGGGCCCCCTGCCTGGCCCAGCTCAAACTGTTGCAGCCATTTGGGGAGTGAACCAACGAATAGAAGCCCTCTATCTTTCCCTTCCTTCCTAACACTACCTTTCAAATAAAGAAAAAAAAAAAAAGCTAATCACCAAACATCACTGAGATAAACTTAATTAAGACATAAATAAATGGAACAATATCCCATATTAATGGATCAGACATTTAATACTTTTGAAAGTAAAAAGTAATCTAAATGGAGCAGGAGGGTTTTTCTTTTCTTTTTTTTTTTTTAAAGATTTTATTTATTTGAGAGGTAGAGGTACAGTGAGAGGCAGAGACACAGAGAAAGATCTTCCTTCCACTGGTTCACTCCCCAAATGGCTGCAATGACCGGAACTGTGCCGATCTGAAGCCAGGAGCTTCCTCTGGGTCTCCCACGCAGGTGCAGGGGCCCAAGCACTTGGGCCATTTTCTACTGCTTTCCTAGGTCATAGCAGAGAGCTGGATCGGAAGGGGGGCATCCATATGGATGCCGGTGCCGCAGGTGGAGGATTAACCCACTGTGCCACAATGCCGGCCCCTTGTTTTATTTATTTATTTATTTATTTATTTATTTATTTATTTATTTTTAAAAAATTTATTTTGTTGTGGCTGGTGCTGTGGCATAGAAGGTTAAGCCTCTGCCTGCAGTGCTGGCATCCCATATAGGTACCAGTTTGAATCCCAGCTGCTCTCTATTTCTGCTTTTCAAATAAGCAAATTTTTAGGAAAGAAGTTTGTGTAAAACAGAATAAAAAGATAAACTGATTTTTTAAAAAAATTTGTTTATTTTAAAGGCAGAATTACAGAGACAGAGAGAGTGAAAATGATGGAAAGGTCTTCCATCCATTGGTTTATCTGGGCCAGGCCAAAGCCAGGAACCAAGAGCCAGGAGCCTAGAGCTTCTTCCGGTTCTCCCCTGTGGGTGCGGGACCCAAGGACTTGGGCCATCTTCCACTGGCACATTAGTAGGGAGCTGGATCAGAAGTGGAGGAGGGAAGGCTCTGTGGCATAGCGGGTAAAGCCACTGCCTGTAGTGCTGGCATCCCATATGGGCACTGGTTCAAGTCTTAGCTGCTCCACTTCCAATCCAGCTCTCTGCTATGGTCTGGGAAAGCAGAGGATGGCCCAAGTCCTTGGGCCCCTGCACCCGCATGGGAGACCCAAAAGAAGCCCCTGGTTCCTGTCTCCTGATCGGCGCAGCTCTGGCCGTTGCGGCCAACTGGTGAATGAACCAGCAGATAGAAGACCTCTCTCTGCAACTCTTTCAAATAAATAAATAAATCTTTAAAAAAAAAAATTAGTGGAGCAGCTGGGACATGAACCAGCATCCATATGGAATGCCGGTGCAGTAGGCAGCTACACCACAAATGTCGGCCCCTTCACTTTATACTTTTTTTTAAAGATTTATTTATTAGAGGGAAAGAGGGAGGGGGAGAAGGGGAGAAATAGATGGAGAGATAGGTAGGTAGGTAGGTAGGTATAGAGAAATATCTTCCTTCTGCTGGTTCACTCTCCAAATGGGCATAATCATTGAAGCCAGGAGCCTGGAACTCCATCAGAGTCCCCCACATGAGTGACTGGGGCCCAAGTCCTTGGGTCATCTTCTGTTGCTTTCCCAGGCAGGGATCTGGATGGGAAGTAGAGCAGCAGGGACTCAAACCAGCACTCATATGAAATGTCAGTGCTGCAAGCAGCAGGTTGATCTTACTGGAAAACTAAGTAAGATACTGTAGTAATGGCCTAAGGATTGACACACAGATCAATGGAATTGAACTGAAATAATTCCTTCCATTTTACATTCCCTGATTGTCTTTTTAAAAATGTAAAAGTTAAGGTCGGTGCTGTGGCATGGTGGGTGGGGCCGCCTGCAGTGCCGGCATCCCATGTGGGTACCAGCTGCTCCACTTCCGATCTAGCTCTCTGCTGTGGCCTGGGAAAGCAGAAGAAGATGGCCCAAGTCCTTGGCTCCTGCACCCGCATGAGAGGCCTGGAGGAAGCTCCTGGCTTCGGATCGGCACAGCTCCAGCTGTTGTGGGCGGAAGACCGCCCCCCCCCACCCCGTCTCTCCCTCTCTGTGTAACTCTTTCAAATAAATAAATACATCTTTAAAAAATAAAATAAAATAAAAATGTAAAAGTCTTTAAAAGTGTGTATAAATTATATGTCTTTTTGCAGTACAAAGTGATATTACGATTTTGTATATTTTGACATGATTTTGTATACAATGTTGAATGAGTACATCAAACTGACATGGTTATCATCTCAAATGCTTACTTTTTTAAAAGATTTATTTAAAGGTTTATTTAAAAATTTATTGAATGGCAGAGTTAGAGATCAATCTTCCATCTGCTGGTTCATTCCACAAATGGCTGCAATGGCCAGGGCTGGGCCAGGAGCTTCCTCTGGGTCTCCCACATGGGTACAGGAGCCCAAGTACTTGGGCCATCTTTGACTGCTTTCCCAGGTACATTAGCAGGGAGCTGGATAGGAAGAGGAACAACTAGAACATTAACTGGAGCCAGCCACTCAAATGTTTAATCCTTTGTGTTAAGCACAGTTGAAATTTACTCAGTGATTTTTAAATGTACAGTTCCTAATTTTTAAAAAAATATGTATTCATTTATTTACGTGGAATTGGGTGAAGGACAGGGAAAAGGAGGGGGAGAGGGATCTTCCAATCACCTGTTCATTCTCCAAATGCCTGCAACAGCAGGGGCTGTGCCAGGCTAAAGCCAGGAGCCAGGACATCCTGGTCTCCCATATATGTGGCAGGGGCCCAAGCACTTAGACCATTATCCACTGCCCTCTCAGGCATGTTAGCAGTAAGCAAGATCAGGAGTAGAGGTGCTGGGGCTTCAATTGGCACTCCAGCATGGGATCCTGGCATTGCAAGCAATGGGATAACCTGCTGTGCTATAATACTAGCCCCAGTATACAATTATAAGCTATCTTCACCATGCTAAGGAAATCAGTCTCGGAAAAAACAAAAACAGGGGCGGGTGTTGTAGTGCAATGGGTTAGGCCATGGCTTAGGATGCCTGTATCCCATATCAGAATGCTTGGGACTGAGTCTTGGCTCTCCTTCTAATCCAGCTTCTAGCTAATGGATACCTTGGGAGGCAGTAAGTGACAGCTAGAGCACTTGGGTCCCTGCCACCCAAGTGGGAGACCTGGATGGAGTTCCAGGATCCTGGCTCCAGCCTGACCCGGTCCTAGGTGTAGCAGGCATTTGCTGAATGAACCAATGGTTAGGAGATCTCTGTCACTGCCCCTTCCAAATAAATCAACATAACTAAACAAACATATTCCTCCTATCCTACTGAAGCTTTGCACCTCTTTATTCCGATCTTCACATTCCAATCTAACTGCTCCCCTTGCCCCCACTCCAATCTCTAGTAGCTACTATTCTACTCTGCTTCTGTGAGTTCAACTGTTTTAAATTCCACATGTAAGTGAGAGAACGTGGTATTTGTCTTTTTGTGTTTGGCTTATTTCCCTTAACATAATGTTGTCCAATCCCATTCATGCTGTTGCCATGATGAAATTACCTTTTTTGAAAGATTTATTTATTTGAAAGAGTTACAGAGAGGGGGAGACAGAGAGAGAGAGATCTTCCATCTGCTGGTTTAATCCCCAGATGGGCACAACAGCCATGGCTGAGCCAGGCTGAAGCCAGGAGCCTCATCTGGGTCTCCCATGTGGGTGGCAGAAGCCCAAACACTTAGGCCATTTTCTGCTACTCTTCCCAGGCCATTAGCAGGGAGGAGGATCAGAAGTGGAACAGCTGGCATGTGAACTGGCATCCATATAAGGTGCTGTCATCGCAGGCAGTGGCGTTACCCACTATACCACAACACCAGCCCCAGAATTACCTTTTTAAGACTGGAATAATATTACATAACACACACCCACACAGCCTATATTACCAATTCATCTGCTGATAAACACTGGGCTATTCCATAACTGGGCTATTATGAACAGTTCTGCAATGAACATGGGAGTGCAGGGATCTCTTTAACAGAATGATTTCGAATCATTCAAATAATCAAAAATGGGACTGCTAGATCACATGGTAGTTCCATTTCTAGTTTCTTGAGGAAATTCTATATTGTTTGTCATAATGGCTGTACCAATTTACATTCTCACAGCCACGGATTTTCAACCAGTGGTGCCAAGACAGCTGGATATCCACATGCAAAAGAATAAAGCTAAACCTCTACTTCACGCCATCTATAAAAATTAACTTCATACAGATCAAAGCCTACATGGAAGTGCTTGCTACTCTATCAAGCTCTCAGAAGAAAAAAAGCATACATCTTTGTGACCTCTGATTAGACAGAGTTTCTCAGATATGACTCCAAAAACCTAAGTGACAAATTTGGACTTTATCAAAGTTTACAATTTTTATGTGTTAAGCTACACTATCAAGAAAGTAAGAAGACAACCCTAGAGCAAAATAAAAGTATTTGAAAATCATATATCTGATAATGGATTTATAGCTAGAACATAAAGTTCTTACAATCAAAAATAAGAAACTAAATAATCCAGTTTTTAAAATAAGCAAAGGATCTGAATGTATGTTTATCTAATGGAGATACAAAGGTCCAGTAAACACAAGAAAAAATGCTTAACATCGTTAGTTATTATGGAAATATAAGTCAAAACCATGATACCATCTCACACCCACCAGGATGGGTATATTAAAAACACAGTTAACCGTCGATGAAGATGTGGAGAAGCTGGAACTCTCTTGGACTGATTGTGGAAACATAAAAATGGGGCAGCTGCTTTGGAGAACCCTGTCAGTGCCTAACGTGATTAAACAAAGAATTACCATCTGACCCAGCACTTCCACTCCTACTTATCTAGGAGAAATAAAAACATGCAATCACACAAAACTTGATTATGAAAGTTCACTGAAGAATTATTCATAACTGCACAAAACAGAAGTAATCCAATGCCCATCAGCTAGTGAACAGATAAAATGCAGTGAGGACACGTATGCAATGGAAGAGTGACGAAGCACTGGTACATGTATGACATGAACTTTGAAAACATTACGCTAAGCCAAAGAACTCACATAAAGACCACATACTGTAGGGCTCCATGTACATGAAATGATCAAAACAAGCAAACACCACATGAGTAGTTGTCAGGGGCTGGAAGGAAAGAAGTGGCGATAGGTATGTATGGGGCTTCTCTCTGGGGTGGTGACAATGTCCTTAAATTAGTGGGAATGGTTGCAAAGTTTTATGAGAACTTTATGAATATACTACAAATCATTGAACATTTAAGGTGTGAGAATTTTATTTCAATAAAGCTAAGTTTAAAATGACAAAAAAAATCACCTTTTATGTCAAAGGACAAGTAGCGTAAGACTGAGATCCAGTATGCTTTTCAACCAGCCAACTTACCCTGGATGGTATAAATAAAACCTCCTGCAACTCCCTCCACACCTTCCATGAATTCACGAGGCAGTGCGCCCTCCCCTGCCTGAAAGGAATGAGAACAGGAGTGCTTAATGTCTCATCACTGAAAGTAAATCCATTACATTTTCAAGGTGGCTTGACAAAGGCCATACTACGACTCCACTGCAGCAGATAAATCCATCTCAGATATGCTGGCGTACCAGACATTTAAAACAGGCTGGCATACAACAGTCTACTATTTTGGTTATCTAATACAATATTAAAGATAGAGGAGCATAGTATTCAGAAGTCCAACTGCATATGTTCTTGTACTTGCTATCATAACAGTATGAAAACCAACTTACTTTATATCCCAACCCCACAACTTAATAGAAATTACCACAATAAAACAAATTATTACCACCTTGAAGTTGTTAGAGAATGAAAATCCTCATGAGTTCAAACTCACTTTGGCATATATATTTTTAAAGATTTATTTATTTGAGAGGTAGAGTTACAGACAATGAGAGCGAGATACAGAGAAGAAGGTCTTTCATCCACTGGTTCACTCCCCAAATGGCCACAACAGCTGGATCTGAGCCAATCCAAAGCCAGGAGCCATCCTCCACTGCTTTCCCAGGACATAGCAGAGAGCTGGATTGGAAGAGGAGCAGCTGCGACTAGAACCAATACCCATATGAGATGCCAGCACCACAGGTGGAGGATTAACCTACCGCACTAGACGCTGGCCCCGGCGTATTTTAAAAGTGATGGCCAGCGCCAGGGTTCACTTGGCTAATCCTCTGCCTGCGGCGCCGGCACACAAGGTTCTAGTCCCAGTCGGGGCGCCGGATTCTGTCCCGGTTGCTCCTCTTCCAGTCCAGCTCTCTGCTGTGGCCCAGGAGTGCAGTGGAGGATGGCCCAGGTGCTTGGGCCCTGCACCCCATGGGAGACCAGGAGAAGCACCTGGCTCCTGGCTTTGGATTGGCGCAGTGCTGGCCGTAGCAGCCATTTGGGGGTGAACCAACGGAAAAGGAAGACCTTTCTCTCTAACTCTGCCTGTCAAAAAAATAAATAAATAAATAAAAATAAATAAATAAAATTAAGTGAGCATGTGGAGGAAAGCTTTTGTAAACCAGCAGTCTGTCCCAAATGGTCCAGATGGAGCCCTGTGACTACTGATGTGGTTTAGAGGGTCTAGAGACTCTCGTGGCACAGCCAACAACACTCCTTTCTGCCTCTTAGGCTAAGAGGTGCTCCAGTTGTCAGACCGCCACCTCTCTTCACCTCATGAAGTACCCCGTGTCCTCACTCTGTGCCTCTGCACATCACACACCAGTGGGCACATCTCTCAGAGCTGTTCTCTAGCTGCCATGAAATGGATCAAACTGTCGGTTACAGTTCAGCTTTTTTACAGGATTTCTTCTACACATTCAGATGAACAGCTACCTGCTTGGCTATTCTTTTGTAAACAGATCTTTTTAGCAGAATTGTCTGCATAATTAAAAATCTGTAACTGAACATTGAGAAACAATCACTTGGAACTGAAGGTGGAGGAAACTACTACAGGTGAACAACAAAGATCCCGACTCTGTAGCTCCTTCCATAGAAGGTTGTTTACTGTTTTTATAATACCTCACACCGTTTCGTTTGTTGAAAACTTGGTTGCACTTTTTGTTTATTGTTTTTTCTCTGAAAGGTCTCAACTTGGCTTTTAATTTGGCTCTGAAACTTTTTTGGCATCTTGTTGCAAAGAGAGCAATACTTGGCAAAAACTCTGTTCTGATTTATGATAAAACCCTCATTTACACATGAGCTTTCTTAGAATGGACTACTAAGTTACCTGTTTTGTTTTTCCAAGGTTACTGAATATTTAAGCTATCTTTAACCTCCTCATACTACTTTTGAGTCTTTATATTTGAATTTAGCTTTCAACTCAAAAGTAAATTTACTTGGTTTAGTGAAAGTAACTCAGATAAGAATTTCAGCATTTTCTGAATATTTTTAAGTTTCATAAATAGAAAAGGAATGAAGATATTAAACGTTCTTGTCTGGAAATAAGGAAAGAAAAAACTATAAATTCCATAAAATTCTATCTTAACAAAGAATTTTCCATGAGAACAAAATTCTAAACATAGCCCAAAAGGCTAACTGTACTTGCTTATGAAACTGAATTAGTCTCTCTCTTAATCCCTGGACTGTAAATTCCAGTGAGCCGGTGATGGGCCTATTTTGTCTGCCACTTTTCCTGCTTTAAAATAGGTGTGCAGGCCAGTGTAGCTGCATACTCTGCCTGTGGCAACAGCATCTCATATGGGCACCAGTTCAAGTCCCAGTGGCTACTCTTCTGATCCAGTTCTCTGCTTATGGCTTGGGAAAGCAGTAGAAGATGGCCCATGTGCTTGGGCCCCTGCATCCACGTGGGAGACCCAGAAGAAGCACCTGGTTTATGGCTTTGGATCAGCCCAGCTCTGGCTGTTGCGGCCATTTGGGGGATGAACCAGTCAATGAAAGACCGACCTCTTTGTCTCTCCCTCTAACTGTATCTCTGCCTCTCAAATAAATAAATAAAATCATAAAAAGCACATTAGCATAGGTGTTAGAAGATAAGAATTTAGGGGCCGGCGCTGTGGTGCAGTGAGTTAAAGCCCTGGCTTGAAGCACCAGCATCCTACATGGGCGCCGGTTCTAGTCCTGGCTTCTCCTCTTCCGATCCAGCTCTCTGCTACGTCCTGGGAAAGCAATAGAAAATGGCCTAAGCCCTTGGGCCCCTGCACCCACGTGGGAGACCCGAAAGAAGCTCTTGGGTCCTGGCTTTGAATCGGCGCAGCTCCGGCCATTGCGGCCATCTGGGGAGTGAACCAGCAGATGGAAGACCTCTCTCTGTCTCTTCCTCTCTCTGTAACTCTTTCAAATAAATAAACTAATCTTTTTTTAAAAAAAAGAATTTAAAAAATAAAATAGGTGTGCAATAAGTGGTTTTTGAATGAGTAATAACATATCACATGATAGTCCTTTCAAATTCAGGAATTAATACAAATGAGGTTAATATTTAATAAATCAGTAAGCCTGTGAATTTAAATAGCAAGAGTATTCGTAATCATTAGATCACAGCATCAAGGAGAATGAAAGACTGTCTAAGACACCACCACACAAATCACTTGTTTACTTGAAAGTTGTTTTGTTTCAGAGGCAGAGAGACAGAAGGAGTAAGACAGCTTCCATCTGTTGGTTCACTCCCCAAGTGGCTGCAACAGCTCAAGTGGAAGCCAAGAGCCAGGAACTCAGTCCAGGCTCCCCTTGAGCCATCTTCTGCTGCCTGTGAGGGCCCACACCAGTGGGAAGCTGGAATTGGGAGACAGGGGCAGGAATGAAACCCAGGCATTCCAGCATGGAACACAGGCGTCTTAATCCCAGGCTAAGTGCCTGTCTTGAAGTTATCACTTTAAGTCTGCTTACACTGTATTATCCTATATTTACTTTGAGAAATTTACCTGTCAGATTCGAGTTTGTTTTAAAATTGAAGCAAACTTACAGGAAAATTTGAGAATCAGAAATCCCAGAGTTGCTTCAATAATAAAAACGAAAGTATTCCATCTTATTTTCCAACACTTTTTTTTTTAAAAGATTTATTTATTTACTTGAAAGAGTTACAGAGAGAGAAAAGGAGGGGGGGGAGAGAGAGAGGGAGAGAGAGAGGGGTCTTCCATCCGCTAGTTCACTCCCCAGTTGGCCGCCATGGCCAGAGCTGCACAGATCCGAAGCCAGGAGCCTCTTCCGGGTCTCCCAAGCGCGTGCAGGGGTCCAAGGACTTGGGCCATCTTCTACTGCTTTCCCAGGCCATAGCAGAGAGCTGGATTGGAAGTGGAGCAGCTGGGTCTCGAACTGGCACCCAAGGCCAGGGCGTTAACCTGCTGCTCCACAGCGTGGCCCCCCAACATTTTCATCTATGGTATTTTAACTGACTTCATGCTATCAAGGTGAGATGGTGAATATTCTGAATAATACTGAGCAAATGTTTTTAAAGAAGGCTAACCCAAAAATTCTGGAGGGAGCAGGGGTTTAGCCTGGTGGTTAAGATGCCTGGGGTCCACTTCAGAGTAACTGCGTTTGATTCTTGCCTCTAGCTCCTGACTCTAGTTTCCTGCTAATGCAGACCCCGGGAGGCTACAGCAATGGCTCAAGTAAACAATACCACACTTAAAAATTCACCAGTCTTAAGGACAGCTGTTTATTCACTAACAGTGGAATACAGAATCATATAGAACAATCAAGCTTTGTGTGTCTTACTGTGATGACTCACATTTTCTACCATGTGTGTTTGAAAATGCACAAGAGTCACTGTTTCAGACTGCCTAGGTTGGAGTGAAAACAAATTTTAAACCCCTTTTGTGTATTTAGAAAAATCTAAAATATGTTACTAAATAAGCTAAGAATACAAAGGGACTTACCGTAATGACTCTGAGAACTCCCCCTCCATCATTCACCGTCACTTTGTGAAGATTTCCTGACACCAGCCCGTGGAGGTCTTGGCTCTCCCACACTATGGTACCTTCAAAGCTCTTTTGTGGAAACACGAACAGTGAGTCAATTTCTTTACTGCTGCCAGTTAGGTTTTAAGTAGGTTTTTAGGTAAAATTTTAGAAAAAAGTTATTTTCCCCCAAAACATAACCAAATTTTTATCTAACTTTAACACACCATTGCTACCATATCTGTGCATAACCCTCGATCATTTTTTCCACATACATCTAAAAAATAGTTGCAAAGATAGACAATTTTGCACACTGCTGCTTGTCATTTGCTACTGTTGTCAAAACACTTCCTTAAGTGGTTGCAGCTGTTAACCATTCTCTTCAGTGTGTGTAACCTGCATTGAATGGATGCATCTGCCTTCCTGAGACACTTCCAAAGGTTGTCAGGTACTTGGCTGCTACCAGATTATGTACTAAAATACTGCAGGAATGAACATTCTGTTATAAATGCTTATTTTCCCCCCAGTTCTCTTCTTTACTATTTAAAATAAGTTTCCAGAGGTGACATTAGTGTGATCAGGGATATTTTTTGTGGGTTTTGATATACACTGCCGAATTGTTTTTCAACAGCAGTTTTTACTGAGCTATGGGGTCATCAGCAATTTATGAGAATGCCAACTGCACCACGTGCTCGCTAGGATGGGATATAACCCAAAGAAGTGTACCTGAGTTTAGCAGATTTGAAGGAAATGATTCCTCATTTAGTTGTACTTCTGATTCCTAGTCATGTTTATAAATTGTATCTTCTCTTCCAAGAGCTGCCTTGTCATGCTTTTTGGCTACCCGGCTACTGAGTTTCCTATTTTTTTTTTTTTTTTAAATTAATCTATGTGAGCTTTTCATGGAGTAATTACCCTAATCTTGCGCACAGGCTAAATTTTTTTTTCAGAATTGCTCGCAAATTAGTATTTCCTTTTTGAAATTCAGAAGTCCATATATTTTACCTTGTCAAGTCTATTAAACTTTCCCTCTGTGATTATTACTATTAAAGTTAGAGCTTAGAAAGTGACATTCCCCCACTCCAGAGTCCAATGCACAATGCAACCCTAATGCCCTCTAATTCTCTGCGGTCCTCATTTTCAACTCTGTGCATAGCTGGCTCCTCAGCACTGCCCAGGTCTCGGCTCCACCGTCACTCCCTAGACTTTCTGCAGAGATGCAGAAGATCCCAGCTCCCAGCTTCCTGCACAGCTAGCTTTAGATTCCTACCTCATTCATCACTCTGACATTTGTTTATTTTTCCATTGTCAAACTCTGCCCCCATTAGAATGCAAGCACCATCAGACTGGGACATAATCTGCCCTACCAACTACTCCATCCCCAGCCCTCAAAAGATCTGAAATAACTAAAAACTCCAAAACGTTTGCTGGATAAATAACGCTAAACAAAAAGCTATTTAGAATTATTTATGGCATACAGCATGAAAAATATAGCTCTAATAACTAAAATTTCATATCTTCTAACATTAGGAGATAAAACACAATAGTAGCTCATTTAGCTAGCATTATCAAGAAACCACACCAAATTTGTCTGATACATCAGGTCAGCAGCTTACAAATTTTTAAAAACAAAACTGTTTCTACTGAAACAGTTAAGCCACTGCGAGAGTCTGGGTGTGTCAGGACGTCTGTCATTTTCCACTCCACTGATGGACTCCCATCCAACATATCTGTGAACTCCCTAGTGCACTGCGTGGGGCCCTGGAGTTACTCAGAAGAGATCTTGCAGATACACCTCAAGCTGTGTCATCATCTCCTAATCTTTTAAAATAGAGAATATGATATCTTCCTCAAAAGGGATGTTTAGAACAGAGGCAACAAACATAAGCCCTGTGTTTTCTGTTCAGCAAAACAGTCGCTTTATTACCATTAGAAGCCATATAGAAAGTGAACTGCCACTTTAAAATATTCCCATTTTCTTATTTTTGAAATAATTGCTGATTGTTTCCACACTTCCCCTAGGTGGCCCTAACTCCCTACTGAACTTCAGATCAAATTTGAATTTTATAAAAACAAAAACATTCTCACAAATGGATGTATACATGGAGGGGGAAAAAGCTAGGAAGAAATACATCAAATATATTGGGCAATAGATAGGTGACATCATCTTCTTTAAAGCTTCCTGTATTTTTGTCAAATTTTCAACATTCAAATAAATGTATTACTTGCACACATCTTCGCAGAGTTATAATCAGAAAAAGGTTTTTTTAACCAAGCATATACTCATAACTAAGTCAATTACACTCAGTCTTCTTTCAGACATGAGCCATTATTTACACTTGCGAGTGACAACATTTACCGAGCTGTGGGCTATGTGTTTGCAGACTTTTTTTTTTTTAAATGGAAAAGTCCATGTCTTCAAGTGATCATAGCATGCCAAGGTGGATGTGATAATGAACGGAAGTCATCCTGCTTAAGCAGGGAGCTCAGACAGAATTTCAAACGACCCTAAGAACTGAGCGAGTGGAAGGCAACAGCCCAACATGCTCAGAAAAACGCCAAGCAGTTCAGCGTTGCGGCAGCACAAGGCCGAAGAGGAGGGGCAAAAGGCAGGCTGCAGGCGGGCTCTGTGCACCGAAGGAGAAGCCTGTCCAGTCTGTCTAGCAGGTGGAAGCTCGCGCTCGCTTTCTCTCTCTCTCCATCTCTGTCTGTATCTCTGCCTTTCAAATAAATGAAATAATTCTTCTTAAAAAAAAAAAAAAACTGGCAAGACTTAAGTATTTGAATATGAGAGTAAAGGATAAATTCCAATTTTGGTTTGGGTGACTGAGAAAAAGGAGACAGCATTATTCAAGACTGAAAATACAGAAGACGAGGATGCAGGTGGGATGGAGACAATGCTACCATCAGGACGCCCAGGAGACACTCAAACGCAGATTCAGTAGGCAACTAGAAGGTGGGATGGAGACAATGCTACCATCAGGACGCCCAGGAGACACTCAAACGCAGATTCAGTAGGCAACTAGAAGCCCGTCTGGGGTTCATAGGAGAGGTAGGCTGTGATGCCAGATTCATACAGGTGGCTAAGGAGGACGCTGCCCAGGAAGAATGAATACAATAAAATAGAAAACCAGGTATTAAATCCCAGTGATTAATACTTAAGAGAAAAACTGAAAAAGAAATAATGAACCATACCAGAAAAGAAAACTATAGTGACCAAATAAAATAAAACTCCCTCATGTTGAAACTATGAATCTAGAAAATATAACAGAAACAAGTAATTCTCTGAATTGTTCCTTTCACTGACACATGGCATTGGCCTTGATATTTCACGGAGGCCACTTCCTGGAGCTCACTTCCACTTTGTGTTTGACTCTGCCAGGACACAGCATCAGCAATATTGATTAAACTGAACAATCACCATGAAAATTCACCGGCCCTCTGAAATGTTCTCGACTTCTTCCCTGAGTCCACACAGCTGCTCTGCGTCCAGGCAGGGAGGAGCCATGTCCTCTCCTCTCCTCTCCTGCATCTGCTCTTGCTCCACATCACAGCTCAATTTCTACTGCTCACCTCTTCTTCCACATCCTGCTTTCTATTCTCATCATAAAGCCAGGAATCTCTTGGGACACAAAACAAGTTTACGGCAAATCCCTGCTATGATTGCAAAACCAAAATAAAAGTTGGGAGAAAAAAATGAGATACTGTAACATATCCATAACATATACAATCTGTCTCCAATCACTTTCATACGTTGATTCTTTTGTGTCATGCTTCTAATTTCTCATCCAAACCATGAGTGTAGCTTAAATACATACAGTACTTTTGTGCTTATAAATTAACATTTCAGAGTGGTGGACTTCAGAAATAATATAAGAATTTCAACTTTCATAAAAAATAAGCATACAAGTTTTCATAATACTAACAATAATTTCTCCAGTAGGCAAAACAGCCTGCTTTTTATCAAAATCAGTGTTACGTTTCAACCACACTATTAAGGAAATTATCAGAGTAATACATGTTTGAACAGAAACAGCATCATCACTTAAAAACTGGTGACCCCCACTGAGATTTATAATACACAAAGAAAAACTTGTAAGAGATCTGCTTACATGACAAGTCATACTGCTGACATATTACTCTAGTCTACCATCAGATGTAGAGGATCAAAATGATGAGCAGATCACTGACTTCCCTTCTCTGGTGGATATGCAGACAAATGATCACTGGAGCTGGCACCTGCATGAGCAGTTAAGAGTGCCTGGACTCCTGCATTCCGTATTGGGATGTCTGGGTCCAAGCCAAGCCTCTGATCCCGATTCCAGCCTCCTGCCAATGGAGACCCTGGGAAGCAGCAGTGATAGCTCAAGTAGTCTTGTTTCTACCACCCATGTGGGAGACTAGCTTCATGTCCTGGCTTCAGCCTGGTCCAGTCCCAACCATTGTGGGTATCTGGAGAGTAAATCAGTGGTAGAAGATCTGTCTCTCAAATAAAATAATTTAAAAAAATACACCAAGGCAGTTCAAGTCCTGGCTGCTCCATTTCCAACCCAGTTCTCTTCTATAGCCTGAGAAAGCAGTAGAAAGTGGCCCAAGTCCTTGGGCTCCTGCACCAACGTGGGAGACACGGAAGAAGCTCCTGGCTCCTGGCTCCTGATCAGCGCAGCTCTGGTAGTTGTGGCCAACTGGGGAGTGACCCAGCGGATGGAAGACCTCTCTCTCTCTGTCTCTCCTCTGTGTAACTCTGCCTTTCAAATAAATAAATCTTTAAAAAAATAAGTCAAATCTGATTAAATGCAGCCAAAAAGAATCTTAATATAAAATTAAAGACATTTTCAATAAAAGTAGGATTTTTGTATAACAGGAAAGCTTTTTTTTAAAAAAAAGATTTATTTATTTGAAAGGCAGAGTTGGGGGAGGGAAGGGGGAGGGGGAGGGAGAGAGGGAGACAGAGAGGGGGAGGGAGGGTGGGAGGAGGGAGAGGGAGAGATTTTCTATCTGCTGGTTCAATCCCACAATGGCTGGAGCTGGGCCTGTCTAAAGCCAGGAGCCAGGAGCTTCTTCCAGGTCTTCCATGGGAGGAGCAGGGGCCCAAGTACCCAGGCCATCTTACGATGCTTTCCCAGGCCCATTAGCAAAGAGCTGGATCGGAAGTAGAGCAGCAGGGACTCGAACTGGCATCCATATGTGATGTTGGACTCTCCAGGAACAGCTTTCCCTGCTACGCCACATCACCATCCCTGAAAGACTTTTACTTTTAAAAGTTTAGTTATAAAGGCAATATATATTTGTTACAGACCATATAAAAATAGATATACATACACACAATGGGGGGCAAAAAAGAGAAAGAAAATAGACACAAAGAAAACAAAAAATATCTATAATCCTATCTCCAACAAGGTGTAGCTACTATTAAGTAGGGTGCTTATTTTAAAAGAACAAAATATTTAAATACACTACTCAAAACAAAATCAACTCTGTCTAGCTGAAAGCTTGAAGGGAAATAAAGAACCCAAAGCTACAGCCACTCAGTCTTCACTAGCAAGGGAGTGGCGATTACTGCTGAGCGCCCAGCTTACTGTAAAACAAATTAGATACCCATCCTTCTGATGCCTCTTGCTCTTCTGGGCAAGCCAGACAGGGTAAAAAGATTATAAATGAGGTCAATGATAGGTTTGTCCCTGCCCTGTACTGACAGTTTCTTCTCGGAATTGTGCTTAAAAATCCCCGCTACCACCAGCCCCTTCGGATTTTGCCTCTCTTGGAGCCCCCACCAGGCCACTCTCGCTGGCGGTCTCTGATTTAAATAGATCTTGCTTTTAAATACAAATAAGATAAAATAAAAATAAAAATAAAAAGGTCCTCACCACTAAAACAGCCACTCCCTATTCTGGCTGACTACATCCTTTCACAGGTATCCAGATACGCCATCCTGAACACCAGCAAGACCCGTCAACCCTCTCTCCCACCCCAGTGTCTCTTATGAAACGCCACAAGCCTATGGAAACGCTGAAATCACCATCCAAATCACCTCGACTCACAAACCGTACATTTTTGGCCACATGTGTTCTCGCTCCCTCCACACTTTACTGTTATGCAATCACTCAAAAGCAAAATGATGATGGACGAACCAGGTTTTGTAATTCTTTAAGCTGACAAAGATCATGGGCAGACTCTGTAAGACTAGGATTAGCCTGACGCGTTTTCCTCCCTCTTTGCCCGACGTGTGAAGTGGCTCCTCCACACCACCGACAGACATCTCGGCCAGATCACTCTGTGCTGTGGGAGGCTGTCCTGTGTGTGCACTGTAGGATGTTTACCATTATCCCTGGCCCTCTACCCACTGGAGGTGCCGATGTCACCACGCTCCCAGACCACTGCAAGTGCTGCCCGGCCCTACGAATGGGCCCCGTGGCCAAACGCTCTGATGAAGAAACAGTGTCCCAGATGCAGACAAGGAGTAGCGGAAATAACGGCTGTACACATTACTGATCAAACACCTACTATGTGGTGTCCTGTCCTAGGCTTCACGTGAAGTCCGCGTGTTAGATCATTTTGCTGGCAGAAGAACCTTCTGAACAGAGCAGTGCAGCACCTCCACCTTGCAGAGGAGGCAACAGACACAGCAAAGTTCAAGAACTTTGTACAAGGTCACAAAGCCACTGAGTCAGAGGAGGAGAGATTCCAACTCGCCCAGGCTGCACCCACATGTGCCTGCTCAGGTACTTCCCCCAAACGGGCCCTCAGACACCTACTCACAGCCAGGTGTAGCACTTCCTCACACCTACTCATACCAATCTCCCCATGTCTTTTGTAAAAATCAACCCGCGTCAGGCTTCAGAGCTTTCTGGATAACACCTAACACAATGCTGGTGCTCCTGGTCTCCTCGGAATACCACTGCTCTCCCTATGGGAAGCACATGAAGTCCGAGTTAGGTTCTGCCCATACTAGCCCTGAGCAGAAAGCAAAGATTCATTACTGCTGACTTGCTTCAATCCCAAAAAAGCTTACCAATTAGTTAAAAAAACAAACAAAACAAAACAAATTCTTACAGCAGTGCACAGCATAAAGTGTTAATTCTTCTCTTCTTTCTCCAATAGTGAGCAAGCTGTTTTAAGGGCGGAAATGTTTGAATTGTCTTTTTTTATTTTTTAAGATTTATTTATTTACTTGAGAGGCATAGTTATAGACAGAGAGAGGGAGAGAGAGAGAGAGAAGTCATCCATCAGCTTCTTCACTCCCTAAATGGTCACAACAGCAGGAGCTGGGCCAGGCAAAAGCCAAGAGCCAGAAGCTTCTTCCAGGTCTCTCATGCGGGTGCAGGGGCCCAAGCACTTGGACCATTTTATGCTGCTTCCCCAGGCCATCAGCAGGGAGCTGGACGGGAAGTAGAGCAGGACTCAAACCAGCACCCCTATGGGATGCCGGTACCACAGATGGATGCTTGACCTACTGCACCACAGCGCTGTCCCCTGTACTATGTCTTAATAATGGCCCCAGTGGTTGGCACAGAGTATGTTCTCAATAAATGCTTTCTGAGTAAGTGAACAAGGCAAAGAATGGCTTCCTTCAAAAACTGAGACACAATGCTTGGACAAAACTAGTCAGTTGAGCCACTATTCTTAATTAAAAGATAAAGCCGATGGTACATTCTGTGCTTAAAAAGGAATAAAGTTCATATATGAAATTAAAAAAATAAACATAAGGAAACAGGCATTCTCATATACTGCTAATGACTATCCACACTGATACAAATTGCTAAACAGCTCTCCAAGAAGGAACTGTATGCCTTAAAAATGTGTATACTTTGGGGCCAGCACTGTGGCACAGCAGCTTAAAGCCTTGGCTTTGCAGAGCCAGCATCCCATATGAGCACGGTTTGAGTTCCGGCTGCTCCACTTCCAATCCAGCTCCCTACTAATGCACCTGGGAAAGCAGTGGAAAATGGCCCAACTGCTTAGGCCCCTGAACCCACGTGGGAGACCCAGAGGAAGCTCCAGGCTCCTGGTTTTCGATCGGCTCAGCTCTGGCGGTTGTGGCCATTTTGGGAGTGAACTAGCGGATAGAAGACTTCTCTCTCTCTGTACCTCTTTCAAATAAATAAAATAAATCTTAAAAAATGTGTATACTTACTGGTCTAACAATTCATTCTAAGAAAATAACCAGTTACGTACAAAAAATAAAGGTATAAAGATGTTCAGTCTCTGTCATGGCAGTGAAACACTAGAAACACATCAACACTCAAGTATAGATTAAATGACAACATTTCTATACAGTGTAATTCTATGTGGCTAATAAAAAATGATCAGGTACATATCAAAAGATGTTCATGATATGTTGAAGAAAGGAAGTTATAAGATACAACGAACAGAACAATCCTATTACCTACATATGCATAGAAGTGAAACCGTTAAATATGATTATCTCTAAATTATGGAATTTTGGTAGTCTTCATTGTTTAGCTTATTTGCATTTTTTCCCAGTGTGCTTCAGTTTTGTTTGTGTTTAAATGTTTTTAATGGAGGTTCACATATGGGTAGAAAGGGGATCCCTCTGACATTCACAGAATTAACTTAAGTAATTTCAACCACTTGTACTCAACTGGAAGACCCATAGCTACTGTAATATGAACATACCCCAAAAGACAGGTGGTGGTAAAGTTTCTTGATTAGTCAGAAGGGACGTCAGTTGAGTAGCTTTCACATCTTAAATCAGCTTTAATGTTGTAACATGAACCCTACAGCTGATCTGAAGTGAATCCCAGAGACGCCCAGTAAAGTGACCCCTATCCTGGTTCCAACAGCACTGCCTTCAGAAATGTACCCAGGCCATACGAAAATAGCCTGGATAGGCTGAGACACGTGGATGACTAATTGTTCATGCAGCCGCACTGTGGTTTAACTCCCAGGACTGACAGCACCTGGTAGGGGAGCTGGTCTCCAGCGCACATCTACTTAAGACCTGACCTAGAGAGACCCACTGGGGACGGGCATCACGCACCACTGTCCATCCTGTAGAGACAGAGAAGTCTTATCTAACCTGGAAATGTGGCCCATATGACTCGTTTTTTCTTTTATTTTTTAGATAAGTAAACTACCTGATTTACATAAATGCCATCTGTTTTTCTGGACTTCTATTAACCCATACCTAATACTATCCTTTGCCATTATAACATTCATGCAGTTCTCTAACTCTGTAAGTAAATGATGGCAACGGGCCACACTTTTCAGAAACTGTGGTTTTGGAATCTCTGAGGCATTATGAAGTTCTCTGAAGATATAATTACAGGGTGCTACATTCTGGTACTTCCATCCTTGGCTGCCTCATCTACCACTCTGGAGCACCACCCTGGGACAAGACAATATCAAGAGCCTGCCTCTGAGAGAACACTCGCGCTTCCATGGAGGAGTACATTGGGACTACTTTCCATTACCCTGTACCTCTGGTAAGATGAACTGCTCCACAGGCTTGTACCACAGCTTGTTCACCTGCACGCCACAGCTCGGAGGACTAAAGCGAGCAACGAAGAGGGCCTCCTACAAATTGGGTGGAAAAAAATAGAAAAGGAAAAGAAAAAATACTTGGTGTTATAAATTACATATGCAACAAGCATCTTCTTTTAAGATTTATTTACTTATTTGAAAGAATTACAGGGAGAGAGGGAGAGATAGAGAGAGGTCTTCCATCTGCTGGTTCACTCCTCAGTTGGCCACAGCAGCCAGGGCAGAGCCAGGTTCAAGTCAGAAGCCAGAAGCTTCCTCTGCGTCTCCCACATGGGTGGCAGGGGCCCAAGCATTTGAGTCCTCTTCCTCTGCCTTTCCCAGGACATTAGCAGGGAGCTGGATCAGAAGCAAAGCAGCCAGGACATTTATTGGCACTCATGGGAGGGTGGCATCACAGGTGGCTTTACCTGCTATGCTACAACACCAGCCTTGCGACAAGTTGTTGTTGTTTTTTGACGGGCAGAGTGGACAGTGAGAGAGAGACACAGAGAGAAAGGTCTTCCTTTTGCCGTTGGTTCACCCTCCAATGGCCGCCGTGGCCGGCGCACCGCGCTGATCCGATGGCAGGAGCCAGGAGCCAGGTGCTTTTCCTGGTCTCCCATGGGGTGCAGGGCCCAAGCACTTGGGCCATCCTCCACTGCACTCCCTGGCCACAGCAGAGAGCTGGCCTGGAAGAGGGGCAACCGGGACAGAATCCGGCGCCCCGACCGGGACTAGAACCCGGTGTGCCGGCGCCGCAAGGCAGAGGATTAGCCTAGTGAGCCGCGGCGGCCGCGACAAGTTTTTAAACACCTTTCATCCGGGCATGCAAAATCCACAATAGCCTCAACCGTGGTCACTAACATTATTCTGTGGTTTCAGCATCATTTGGGTTTTCCAGTTTTTGTCTTTGTTTTTAAGATTTATGTGTTTATTTATTTGAAAGGCAGAACAACAGAGAAGAAGGATAGACAGAGATCTTGTATCTATTCATTCACTCTGCAAATGGCTGTAATAGCCAAGCTGGGCCAGGCCAAACCCAGGAGTTAGAACTTCCATCCAGGTCTCCCACATGAATAGCTGAGCCATAAGTATTTGAGCCATCCTCTGCTGCATTCCCAACCCATCAGCAGGAAGCAGGATTGGAGACAACATAACTGAGACTCAAACTGGGATGTGGCATTGCAAGCAGCAGCTTCACCCCGGTCATGGTTATTAAATAAAGATATTAAAGATAATCAAAGTTGTCATGAAGTTCTCAAAAACTGAAAACATAATTCACTTAACTTTAAAAAAATGCACCTTGAAATGAAAAGCACTACAGGAAGTGAGAAGTGTTTTTTAAAATTTTTTTAAAATTTATTTGACAGGTAGATTTACAGAGAGAGAGAGAGAGAGGTAGATTTACAGAGAGAGAGAGAGAGAGAGAGAGAGAGAAAGGTCTTCCTTCCATTGGTTCACTCCCCAAATGGCCGCCCCGGCCAGCGCTGTGCTGATCCAAAGCCAGGAGCCAGGTGCCTCCTCCTGGTCTCCCACTCTTGGGCCATCCTCCACTGCACTCCCGGGCCACAGCAGAGAGCTGGACTGGAAGAGGAGCAACCAGGACTAGAACCGGTGCCCATACGAGATGCCAACGCCGCAGGCTTTGGGATTAACCCAGTGAGCCACGGCGCCGGCCCCGAGAAGTGCTTTTAAATTAAGCCAATATATTGTAGTACCAGAACTCACTCAGAGTTGGACTAGACTGAAGGATCACAGGTTTCTTTCGGGACAAGTGTTCAGGAATCTCCCTTTCAAAAACAGCCTTCAGGGGCAGACGTTTGGTGCAGTGGTTAAGATGCTGCTTAGGATGCTCACATCCCACATCAGAGGCTGGGTTTCAAGTCCCAACTCCATTCCAATTCCTGCTTCCTGCTACTGTGTACCCTCGGAGGCAGGAGATGCTAACAGCTCAAGTATTTGTGTGCCTACCACACCAAGAGAAACCCAGATGGAGTTCCAGGCTTCAGCCTGTTACAGCTCCATCTGTTGAGGGCACTGGGGAGGGAACCAGTAGATAGGATCTCTCTGTGTGTCTATCTCTGCCTTTCAAATGCAAATAAACTTAAACAAATCTTCAAAGGACAATATAAGCAAAACAAAAAAGAGGACTTATTCTCATATCTATTGTTTCCTTCAGGCCTTTACACTTCTTTTGGGCAAGGACATCTCCTTATTCTCATCTATCAACTTGCCATGGGGAAAATGTCTCAAAGTTACCAACACCACACACAAGTTCCAAAGTGAAGGATGTTTCCATGGAGAATGTCTGTTTCTTTCATGCATGCCAAAAGCAGGGCAGTGAGTCTTTGTGGCATGTGACTACCCATGAGCCCATCAGCATACACCCTTAAATTGGTCCTCCCTTAAGGACAAAGATTATTAGCTTCTGCCTGGATAAAAATATGGCAAATTTAAATCGAAATGACCAAAATACTTAGGGCTGAACCAAGATACTGGACTGATAACTCAGATGCTATTAATAGTTGTTTTTTTTTTTTTTTAAAAAAAAAACAAAACTACAAATACCAAGAAAATTAAATAAATCTATCAAAAATTCCTAAATAGGACAACAGTAAAATTCAGAGTACTACTATTACAATTACCTATTTGAGCTTCAGTATTAATAAAATCTTTATCCATAATAATGTATGGAGTCCTACAGTTAAGTTACTTAGGAGTTAGCAGGAGTTACTTAACTAGAAGTTAAATTCTCAAGTAACTGGAGAAAGCTCTTCTTACTGTAATCATAATGGCTAGAATCATTGGTACGGCTTATTCCCTGTTAGTTATGTTTATAAACACATTAACAAACCACAGATTCTTTAGAACAGAAAAAATTGTGAAAAAATGTAATCTTAAATTGATGTGTACATATTTACTGGAGAGTCCTGACCACCCTTACTGTTAACAATAAACATCAATACAAAATATTGTAAAAAACTGAACAAGGTTCTACTTCCAGTAATATCAGACCATCTCTCCTAAAGATAACTAAACAAAGAAACAGGTAGACATTGAAGGACAATCAATTCTTAGAAGAAGGGAAAAGCACTGGGTATGTACCCTCTCCCCAAGCACTGGTTTGAAGGTACAATCCTACAGCAACTAAAGTTTTAATAAAAACTTGCAGCTTTTTTGGTTGAGAAATCAGAGTAAACGGGCAAACGCTGTGGTTCAGCAGGTTAAGCCACTGCTTGCAACACCAGCATCCCCTATCAGAGAACCGGCTGGAGTCCGGGCTACTCTACTCCAGATCCAGTTTCTTGTTAATGTGTTTGGAAAACTAGCAGAAGACAGCCCAAGTACTTGGCCTCCTGCCACCCACCTGGGAGACCCAGATGGAGTTCCTGGCTGCTGGCTTTGGTTGTTTAGCCATTTGGAGAGTAAACCAGTAGACAGAAGATTTCTTCCTCTCTATCTCTCCCCGTCGCCCTGCCTTTCAAATAAATAAATAAATCCTTAAAAGAAAAAAAAAAAATAGAGGACAGAGTTGGGGGCAAACACATCAACTAAAAAGTGAGGATGAAAACTCTCCAGACAGGAAAGAGTCAGAGAGAGAACCACAAATTCTTCACGTAAACTCTGCCCAAATCTGTGGCTGACTCATGAAACACACATTCAAGGCAGAACCCGAGCAGCCCATCTAAGGCCAAAAGAACTGAATACAGATTTCAATTGCTGCCTGTTGCAAGGAAAAATGTTTAGAGTCCATTTAACTGCCTGCTAAAACAAATGAAAATCAGTACTCTTCAAGGAATGTAAGAGGGTCCAGAGCTCTCCACTGAAGCAGTCACAGTATCTAGGATACAATCTAAACTTACTAAGTAAGACATAACAGGAAAATGTTATCTGTACTCAAGAAAAAAATTATAAGCAATAAAAATGGATCCCAAGATGACTTGGTAGACTACGATTTTAAAACTGCTATTATGACTATGGTGAGGACTTTAGAGAAATACATGCCCAAAACTAATGAATATATATGAAATTTTAGAGAACAGAAACCATAAAAATAATTTAATGGAGATTTTAAATTTATTTAAGTTTTTAATTTGAGAGGCAGAAAGAGAGAGAGAGAGAGAGGCAGAGAGAAACAGAGCATGCACACATACTCTCATCTGTTAGTTTACTACCCCAGATGTCCAGGAGCTGGGAACTCAATCCAGGTCTCGCATGTAGCTGGCAAGAAGTGAACTACTTAGCCAGCATCAACTGCCTCCCAGTGTGCATCAGCACAAATTGGAATTGGGAGGGAACAGAGCTGAGAACTGAGCCCAGGTACTCCAATATGGGACGTAGGCACCCCAAACGAGATCTCAACCACTGTGCCAAATGTTTGTCACCTGAAAGTAAACTGAAGAACTAAAAAGCACTACATCTGAAGTAAAAATGTCATTAGATTAATCACAGATTTAGGATGACAGAAGAGTCAGGGATCTTGAGTATATAGGTTGACCAAAATTATTAAATCTGAAAAAAATGAACAGTCTTGAGATCCGTGGGACCATTCAAAAAATTCTAATACAGGGCCACGGCTGTGGCATAATGGGTAAAGCCAGTGCCTGCAGTGCTGGCATCTCATGTGGGCGCCACCTGGTGTCCCGGCTGCTCCATTTCTAATCTAGCTCTCTGCAATGGCCTGGGAAAACAGTAGAAGATGGCCCAAGTCCTTGGGCCCCTGCACCTGCATGGGCGAACAGGAAGAAGCTCCTGGCTCTTGGCTTTGGATAAGCTCAGTTCTGGCCATTGCGGCCATTTGGAGAGTAAACCAGCAGATGGAAGACCTCTCTCTTTCTCTGTAATTCTGCCTTTCAAATAAACAAATCTTAAAAAAAAAAAAAAATCTAACAAATGTAATTTGAATCCCAGGAGGAAAGAGAAGGGTAGGCTGGAAAAAGTTTTGAAGAAATAGCTGAAATTTTCCAAATTTGGTGCAACTCATAAATTTACAGATTAAAGAAACTTGACAAATTCTCAGCAGAACAGACATGGAAGAAACTACATCAAGGTACAATGTAACCAAATTGCTTCAAATTAAATATAAAGAGAGAATCTTAAAAAGCAATCAGAGGGGCCAGTATTGTGACATAGAAGGTAAAGTGGCTACCTGCGATGACTGAAACCCATAAAGGCGTCGGGTTTGAGTCCTGGCTGCTTTACTTCCCATCCAGCTCCCTGCTAATGGCCTGGGACAGCAGTAGAAGATGGCCCAAGTGCTTGGGCCCCTGCACCCATGTGGGAGACCCAAATGGAGTTCCTGGCTTGTGGCTTCAGCGTGACACTACCCTGACTGCTGTGGCTATTTGGGGAGTAAACCAGAGGATGGAAGCTCTCTCTCTCTGTTGCTCTGCCTTTCAAATAATAAATAAGTAAATCTTTTTTAAAAAGACAGATTGATGAATAATGAATATATGTGTGACTAGGCAATCATCACAAAATATTAACTACTGTAAATTTAGTTGGTGGCTATATATGGGTGTTCACTTGTACAGTTCCCTCAAGTTTTTTTTTTTTTTTTGAGGCTACTGTCTTTCTTTTTTTTTCATTTTAACTTTTATTTAATGAATATAAATTTCCAAAGTACAGCTTATGGATTACATTGGCTTCCCCCCCATAACGTCCCTCCCACCCGCAACCCTCCCCTTTCCCACTCCCTCTCCCCTTCCATTCACATCAAGATTCATTTTCGATTCTCTTTATATACAGAAGATCAGTTTAGCATACATTAAGTAAAGATTTCAACAGTTTGCTCCCACACAGAAACATAAAGTGAAAAATACTGTTTGAGTACTAGTTATAGCATTAAATCTCAATGTACAGCACACTAAGGACAGAGATCCTACATGAGGAGTAAGTGCACAGTGACTCCTGTTGTTGACTTAACAAATTGACACTCTTGTTTATGGCATCAGTAATCACCCTAGGCTCTTGTCATGAGCTGCCAAGGCTATGGAAGCCCCCTGAGTTCACCGACACTGATCATATTTAGATAAGGCCATGGTCAAAGTAGAAGTTCTCTCCTCCCTTCAGAGAAAGGTACCTCCTTCTTTGATGACCCGTTCTTTCCACTGGGATCTCACTCGCAGAGATCTTTCATTTAGTCGCCCCCCCCCCGAGTGTCTTGGCTTTCCATGCCTGAAATACTCTCATGGGCTTTTCAGCTGGATCTGCATGCCTTAAGGGCTGATTCGGAGGCCAGAGTGCTGTTTAGGACATCTGCCATTCTATGGGTCTGCTGTGTATCTCACTTCCCATGTTGGATCGTTCTCTCCCTTTTTGATTCTATCAGCTAGTATTTGCAGACACTAGTCTTGTTTATGTGATCCCTTTGCTTCTTAGTCCTATCATTATGATCAATTGTGAACAGAAATTGATCACTGGGACTAGTGAGATGGCATTGGTACATGCCACCTTGATGGGATTGAATTGGAATCCCCTGGTATGTTTCTAACTCTACCGTTTGAGGTAAGTCAGCTTGAGCATGTCCCGAATTGCACATCTCTTCCCTCTCTTATTCCCACTCTTATATTTAACAGCGATCACTTTTCAGTTAAGTTTCAGCACTTAAGAATAATTGTATATTGATTACAGTATTCAACCAAAAGTATTAAGTAGAACAAACAAAAAAAAATACTAAGAGGAATAACATATTAAGTTGTTCATCAACAGTCAGGGCAAGGGCTGATCAAGTCACCGTTTCTCATAGTGTTCATTTCACTTTAACAGGTTTCCTTTTTGGTGCTCAGTTAGTTGTCACCTATCAGGGAACCCTCAAGTTTTATATGTTTTTAAATTCCAGAAACAGATTTTTTCTTTTTTTTATTTTACATGACTTTATTATAAATTTAGAACCATTTTTTTCCTACATTCACTCTGCTTTAATATGACTAAAAGCATTTTAACCAAAATCTTGATTTAGGAAGACTTAAGACATTGTGCATTATTTTAAATATTTTCATTTTTTCAATAATTATTAAAAATAGGTTCACAATTAGGGTTTCAAGTGTCCTAATTATATCTAGTTTGTTCTCATACCATATTTTACCAATCTCCTGTGCATATAGAGGTTAAGGTGATATATAAATTTTTTTTTTTGACAGGCAGAGTGGACAGTGAGAGAGAGAGAGACAGAGAGAAAGGTCTTCCTTTTTCTGTTGGTTCACCCCCCAATGGCTGCTGCGGCCAGCACACCGCACTAATCCGAAGCCAGGAGCCAGGTGCTTCCTCCTGGTCTCCAATGAGGGTGCAGGGCCCAAGCACTTGGGCCATCCTCCACTGCACTCCCGGGCCACAGCAGAGAGCTGGACCAGAAGAGGAGCGACCAGGACAGAATCCAGCGCCCCAACCGGGGCTAGAACCCAGAGTGCCGGCACCACAGGGGAGGATTAGCCTATTGAGCTGTGGCGCTGGTCGATATATAAATTTTTATATCTTTCCAACATCAATGTTTATTATCTCTTACTCTAATTACTATTTCACTTATTCAGAAATAGCATTTACACATAAAAACCGTCTCACTTTGTAAAATAACGTTTGGCTAATTTGCATACATCTAATACAGTCTGTTGTCTAAGTTTTTAGTAATACAGTGAGCTTCACCACTATCATTTAGTTTTAAAAATTTTTAGTGTCAGTAGGGCTGAGATGTAAGTTCAGTCTTTTGAAGGATGTTATATAATAAAAGTACAGTACTTTGGAGAATAAAAATTATCTCAAGGCCAGAAGTCTTTTAATAAAGGTACTGAAAGGCAGGAGAAATACCAGAGATTTTCTCTCCTATTTTTAAGAGGTAAAGTCACTTAGTTTAAGTCTTAGTAAAGGAAACAGTGTTGTTCCATATATGCTACTGAAGAAAGCATCTAAAACCACAGGATTTAGGGATATTGGTCCTAGGCTATATAATTAATGGGTATCACAAATGAACCTGTTTCCTAATTATTGAGTATAAGTTAACTTCCTATGCCAAGAAAGGGTCACACTTCACTTCCCCCCATTTGTAAAAAGGAAAGGTGGCCTGGCCAGGTGCCATTCAGGATTCTCTGCTAACTGTAAAATGTGGACCGATTTCCTTCTGTTTCTTACAGGCCTTGTGTATATAAACTTTTAGTTCTTTAAATCAAAATTTTTATGCACATAACCATGTCGGTGTATTGCCCTTAGTTTAAAAATGTACAACTACATGAATAAAAACTATTGCAAAAACAGATTTTCTTAAATATAGCTCCATGCTATACTACTTCAGACATACCCTCTAAACAAATTTTAAGATTTTTCCAAAATTCAGGAGCAGAGTAACCTCAGTGGTTTTAAAACTTATTCCCTCTACACTCTTATCTGAAGGGCAGAGGTTAAGCCACTGCTTGGAACACCCACATCCCATGTCAGATTGCTGGGTTTGGGTCCCAGTTCCACTATCTATTCCAGTCTCCTACTGAGGCAGCAGCTGATGGCTCAGGTACTTGCAGTCCCTGCCACCCACATGGCAGACATGGGTGGAGTCCCTGGCACCTGGCTTTGGCCTGGCCCAGTCCTGGATGAGGACAGAACTAAAAGATGGGAGATATTTCTTTGTCTCCCTCACTGCCTTTCAAATAAAATAAATATAACTTTAAAAAGAGATCTAAAGCAACTATTAGTCTTGTATTATAGACTTTGGGGGTTGGAAGAGACAATGATACTCATATATCCTAAGAGTTTCAAACGTTTTATACATCCATTAACAACTTCCGAAACTCCTTTGAAATTAAAGGAATTTAGTTTGGGCATTTCTAATCCAGTCCAACTCCTGGTTTTTAAAGATTCATTCATCCATCCATTCATTTGAAAGGCAGAATGACAAAGAGAGAGGGAGAGACAAAAAGAGGGAGGTCTTTCATCCTCTAGTTCACTCTCTAGATGGGCACAACCACCAGGGCTGGGCCAGGCCCAAATTAGGAACCTCGAACCCCATCTTAACGCTATCATCCACTGCCTTCCCAGTAACATCAGCAGGAAGCTGGATCAGAAATGGAAGGGCTGGGACTGAACTGGCACTCCATTATGGGATGCTGGCATCGCCAACTGTGGCTCAACCCGCTGTACCACAATGCTGGCCCCAACTCGTTTTCTAGATATGAAACATTTATTTGTAGGTAATCACTCTCAAGTCAGCATTATAACATCACACAACAATGCAATCAATCAGTGAAGGAAGGTGGGAAGTCTCCCAGCCAGAGAGAATTATATAACCTTCCAATCTACCATACACCATAAGAAAAAGTTGATGTTTTTGAAAAACAAAAATGAGGGAAACCCTGTCCAAAGCAGTGCATACCTCCAGTTCCGCCTGGTAAAGTTTGACGGTGATGTTCCTCTGGAAGCCCCCATCACCGGCGTCGTAGAACACTCCTAGACTCGTAATCACGATGGGGTAGAGAACTCGGAAGCTTACGCTGACAACGCGGTCCTCGGGGAGTCCTGGCGAGGTGTCTTCAGAAAGACTGAAAGCCTCGATTTCCTGATTCAAAACTGAGGAGGTAATGACAACAGAGGTTTCAGATAACGGAACACACAGAATCACAATCTTTTACTTTAATAATATTAAGTAGTGAAATGGATTGACAGCAAAATCTACAAAATTATATGTGTTATAATGCCTTCCTAAGCGGCAGGAATTTATATAAAAAAATGCTTGATAAACGTGGCTGATTCCAGAAAAGTAAAACATTTTGAAATCTAAGAATGAAGTTTTCTGCCACATGTGAGTTATTCAATTATCAGAACTGCTTTACTGGATTCCTGCGTAAACAAGTGTGAATATATGTATACAACCATCACCAAAGAATACATTTAAGTCAGCTGGAAGGCATCTCTTTGGAACAACTGGATCAACAAGGGCGATAAAAAGTAATAAATAATCACTAAATTGGGTTTTGCTCTGCAAATTCACAAGCATTTCTTGTTAGGCAATTTAAAATATTTGTGAGATGCCAGTTAGTACAGTTTAAAAGCAACAGAAATCACTTAAAATAACACTGAAGAGTTCTTGAAGTAAAACACTGATAAAAGATAAACACAGTGAGTACTTCTGACCACCACTGACCACTACGTGCCATTCCCTATCATATTTACATTTCACAGCTACACTGTACGATGGTGGCGTTATCTCCAAATTACAGATAAGACATGGAAGTTCAGAGACATTCAGTAAGCAATTGCTCATTTAAAAAAACTGTGTGTGTGTGTGTGTGTATCCATATATTTACTTATAACACATACACATATATTTTTTTTTAGAGAACATTTTTTTTTAAAGATTTATTTATTTATTTGAAAGTCAGTGTTACACAGAGAAAGGAGAGGCAGAGAGAGAGCAATAGGTCTTCCATCCGCTGGTTCACTTCCCCATTGGCCACAAAGGCCAGAGCTGCACAGATCTGAAGCCAGGAGCTTCTTCCAGGTCACCCATTCGGGTGCAGGGGCCAAGAACCTGGGCCATCCTCTACTGCTATGGCAGGCCACAGCAGAGAGCTGGATCGGAAGAGGAGCAGGCGGGACTAGAACCGGCACCCATATGGGATGCCGGCGCTTCAGGCCAGGGAGTTTACCCACTGAGCCACAGCACCAGCCCCTAACACATACACATATAATGTGGCTAGTCTATATGTTCAAAATTAATTATGATTACTTTTTATTTTCAGATAAATAAACTTTATTTCCTTCCCATATGCTCACAGATCACCTGGATCCCCCTCTTAGAGTTCCTAGAAGCTATTTTACACTTAGTAGATGCTTAATCAAATGTGACTTAAGGGAAGTGATGGCTCCTATCTAATTATAGACATGAGCAACAGGGCAAAAAGGAATATAAAGACTTTGCCCTGAGCTGCACAAAGCACTGGCTAAACAAGTCTAGACTGCAAACATACTGGGTAATAACAAAATTTTTCTCTCCACGATATTCAGTAAATAAAAATATCTACAGTAGAAGCATATTTATTAAAAAGCAATCAGTTAATCAAATTATAACATGTACCTTGAATTTCAAGCTATCTGAATATAGGAAATCCCACTGCATTTATAATGCTATTGATCAAACCTCCCTCACATCCACAGTATCATGATGATTAATGTACATCATGATTTCCAGGCACTGAAATAACTAAAGGATTTTTGGATCATCAAAAAGATAAAATTAGGTACAATTTTAATCTGGTTTTATATGTTTTTTAAAGTTTTAATGTAAATATCTATGCATATATAAAAATTTTCCATGAATGGAAAGTGCTGCTCCTTTTCTGTTGATGAATAACAAAAGTTTGATTGAAGTTAAACTTTCTAAAAAGACTTATTTACTTGAAAGAGTTAGAGAGAGAGTGGGAGAGACAGAGACATCTTCCATTTGCTGGTTCACTCTCCACATGGCTGCAATGGCCAGTTTTGTGCCAGGCTTAAGCCAGGAGCTTTACTTGGTTCTACCACATGGGTGGCAGGGGCCCAAGCACTTGGGCCATCTTCCACTGCTTTCCCAGGCACATCAGCAGGGAGCTGGATCAGAAGTAGAGCAGCTGGGACATGAACTGGCACCCATATGGGATGCTGGCATTGCAGGTGGGAGCTTTAACTGGCCCCAAAGATTTTTTGGTTAGTTTTGCACCATAATTTCTTATAGGTTACACATTATCAGTAACACATTTTATGAGGTTCATGATCCCTAAGACTTCAGTGAACGCTAAAAGACCTCTCTGCCCAGAACATAATTATACTTAAAATTTAGCTTGCAATATTAACATCCTTAAGTAAGAAGCCCCTGCTTTACAATGCAAACTTGAATATATAGCCCAATTTGCTTAAAAACATGACTGAAACCCAACTTCATTTATTTTTTAAGATTTATTTATTCATTCATTCATTTTTTCAAAAGTCAGAGTTACGGAGTAAAGGAAAGACAGAGAGATCTTCCATTTGCTGGTTCACTCCCTAAATGACCACAATGGCCAGGACTGAGCTAGGCCAGAGTCGGGAGCCAAGAGCTTCATCCAGGTGTCCTACGTGAGTGCAGGGACCCAAGTGCTTGGGCCATCTTCTGCTGCTTTCCTAGGCCATTAGCAGGGAGCTGGATCTGAAGTGGAAAAGCCGGGACTTGAACCAGAGCCCAGATAGAATGCTGGAGCTGCAGATGGCGACTTAACCACTAAGCCACAGTGCTAGCCCCTAAAACCCAACTTTATAAAAAGGCAGGCTCTTTAACAATATTAAATATCTGGGCTGGCGCTCTGGCATAGCGAGTAAAGCCGCTGCCTGCAGTGCCAGCATTCCATGTGGGCACCGGTTTGAATCCCGGCTGTTCCACTTCCAATCCGGCTCTCTGCTATGGCCTGGGAAAGCAGGAGAAGATGGCCCAAGTCCTTGGGCCCCTGTACCCACGTGGGAGACGCGGAAGAAGCTCCTGGCCCCTGTCTTCATATCAGCGCAGCCCCAGCCATTGCAGCCAACTGGGGAGTGAATCAACAGATGGAAGACCTCTCTCTTTCTCTCTCTGTGTAACTCTGATTTTCAAATAAATAAATAAATCTTAAAAAAAGATTTAAAAAATATTAAATAACTACCATGTCCCAAGAACTCTTCTAAATATATGTTAACTTACTTCATCCTCATGAAATGCTGCCTTATTTTTAACTTTTTAATGTTTGTTTCTTTTGTAAAATTAGGGAGTAATTCTAAGAGAAAGCTGGTTCAAAATAGTTGTGTCAACACTATTACAAATTAACTAGTGAAATCAGTTTTCCAAAAGTTCAAAATTCAGTAATTCAAAATTACCTAACTCAGAATTTCCAGAATCACGTGAATCACATTGGGAAAATAAATTCTCCCAGTGCAGGCTGTTGTGGCTATTTGGGGGAAGGAACCAGCAGACAGAAGACCTCTCTGCTTCTCCTCTCTCAGTAACTCTGCCTTTCAAATAATACATAAATCAAAACAAAACAAAACAAAACAAAACAAAAAACTTCTCTTGGATCCCAAAAGTCTGTATCTGCAAAGAATTCCTACAGAAGTCCTGAGTGATTAATCTGTCAAAAAGGATGATACATAAATGTTAATAAAAGATATTCAGTCTACTAAAAAAGACTCTGTACTATTAAACTTAGCATCTTCTGCCAACATCAAACTTGTAGATGGCAATCTTAGGAAGAAGCTGACATACCTGGATTGCTGATGTTGAGCAGTTTACAGGAGTAAGGATCCTCCCTGTCTTCCACAGGCACTTCACAGCCACGAGCACCTATTATGAACTTCACAAGCACACTGAGAGATGCGGTGGCGTTAAACATCAGTTACTGATCTTCACACCCATTTCAGAGCTTTTACTCGGAGACACAAGCATTTATGAAGATTAATTCTCTACCTTTATTCTTCTAGTCTAGCAAAAAGGGGGAATAAGCAAATTAAAGCTGCTAACTACCAAGTGACTCGTGCGTGAGACCTTTATTGCAACACTGTGAAAACCAGCATAAATATATTCAGCCTGGCTACAGCCAGTGGTCGGACCATTTGAAATCAAACTACAGGAGTGAAGGCTTCTCGAAAACCTATCTAAGTCTGCAATTCTCTTTTTTACCTTTTTCTATTTCAGGAGGTATTCCTTTTGTTCAAGATTAATCTTTCTACCCAAGAGGATGTCCCCTCCTCTCCTAGACCTCACTTTACTGGTTACCCCATAACCCTTCCCATTATAGACCTGATGAAGTCCTGACATTGAATTTTTTTTTTTTTTAATATTTATTTATTTACTTGAAAGTCAGAGTTACACGGGGGGTGGGGCAGAGAGAGAGAGAGAGAGAGAGGTCTTCCTTCCTCTGGTTCACTCCCCAGTTGGCTAGAGCTACGCCCATCCGAAGCCAGGATTCAGGAGCTTCTTCCGGGTCTCCTACGCAGGTGCAGGGGCCCAAGGACTTGGCCATCTTCTACTGCTTTCCCAGGCCATAGCAGAGAGCTGGACTGGAAGTGGAGCAGCCAGGTTTCGAACCAGCACCCATATGGGATGCTGGCGCTTCAGGCCAGGGCGTTAACCTGCTGTACCACAGCGCCAGCCCCAAGACATTGAATCTATTAACCTACCATCCTTGCTGCTTTACACTGAGGTCTGTAAGAATGAACTACAATTGCAGCCTGTAGTTTCTCACTTCCCACCCACGTTTTATGAAACAGGAATTTCAGCTGCAGGACCCACGTTTCACTGAGCTATCGCACCGCCGATGTTGCTGCGCAGTCAGCACTTTTCCACACTCACCTCCCTGACTTCCCTACGGCTCAACACTGCCCATCTACCCAAAACGTTCTCTGCCCTTCTCCCACAGCCCTGCTCAGTCGGCTTCACTGGTTCTTCTTTCCCAGGTTGAGAAGGCTGGACTGAGGACGGCTACTTGTCATGGCCTTGTCCTTGCGTCTCTTCTCATCTACTCATTCTTTTCACCCCCTCTCTCTGGACAACGTATTTATTCCCAGGACTTCAACTAGACTGGGAATGAGTCCTGAATTAGATGCTCTGGGACCCACCTTCTAAGTAAAGAATCACACACCTATTAGGCATCTTCACCTCTGGGACCCAGACTGTGCTGAAGCCCCACTTGGGAAGGTACTAAGAGTAAAATTCTAACATACATAAGTTGTCACTTCAGTCTTCCTCTTTAACTTAAAGGAAATATGTCAGAACTACATGCCTTTTTAAAATTGCTACTATATGCTGATTACAGATATTTAAAAAAATATTTTATGAGTGGGCTGGCGCCGCGGCTCACTAGGCTAATCCTCCACCTCGCGGCGCCGGCACACCGGGTTCTAGTCCCGCTCGGGGCACCGGATTCTGTCCCGGTTGCCCCTCTTCCAAGCCAGCTCTCTGCTATGGCCTATGAGTGCACCCATGAGGGCCCTGCACCCGCATGGAGACCAGGAGAAGCATCTGGCTCCTGGCTTCGGATCAGCGCGATGCGCTGGCCGCAGCGGCCATTGGAGGGTGAACCAATGGCAAAAGGAAGACCTTTCTCTCTGTCTCTCTCTCACTATCCACTCTGCCTGTCAAAAAAAAATATTTTATGAGCATCATCAACCAGCTACAAGGAATTTAAAATAAAGAGATTTACGTTGTTGCTTGTCAATTATGATATATGTATTTATACCAATAAAAGTTATAGTAAACATGTATGTACATGCAGAGGCACTTTTTTCCAGTAAATAAGCATTTACCAGTACACCACTGCCTATGGGTCCTCAAAGTCAATATCACCACAACAGAGCTGCTTCCCTGTGAAACATGCTCTTCTTATCTAGTACCTGTTTTTTAAAAGATTTTTTTACTTACTTATTTTATTTGAAAGGCAGAGTTACAGAGAGAGAGGGAGAGACAGAAAGAGAGATCTTCCTTCTGCTAGTTCACTCCCCAGATGGCCACAATTGCCAGGGCAGGGCCAGGCTGAAGCCAGGAGCTTCTTCTGGGTCTCCTACATGGGTGCAGGGGCCCAAGCACTTAGGCCATCCTCTGCTACTTTCCCAGGTGCATTAGCAGAGAGCTGGATCAGAAATGGAGCAGTCAGGTCTCAAACCGGCACCTATAAGGGATGCTGGTGTTGCAGGCAGGAAGCTAGCAGACACCCTAACTCCTTCTCTTTCTACATTCAATGATCTTAATTCTCTGATAGGTCCCTATCTTTTTTTAAAGTTTTTTTTTTTAAAGATTTATTTATTTATTTAAGAGGCAGAGTTACAAAGAGAGGTAGGTCTTCATCTGCTAGTTCATTCCCCAAATGGCCACAATGGCTGGAGCTGGGATGACCCAAAGCCAGGATCCAGGAAATTCTTCCAGGTCTCCCACATGGATGCTGGGGCCATAGCACTTGGGCCATCTTCTGTTGCTTTCCCAGGCTATTAGCATGGACCTGGATCAGTAGTGGAGCAGCCATGACTCAAATCGGTGCTCACACAGGAGGCTGGCACCACAGGCGGAGGCTTATCTTCTGCGCCACACTGCCGGGCCCGAGGTCACTATTTTCATTCAACCCTCATGGGTCCTGGTCCGAAAAGGCCTTGCCTTTCAGCACACTTTCTGCACAGTCTGGTCACTGCCCATCTCTCCTATGCCTGGCCCCCTCTCTTTCACGGGTGGGGAACCTTTTTTTCTGCCAAGAGCCATTTGGATATTTATCACATCATTTTCGGGGCATACAAATTTGTCAACTTAAACACTAGCCTGCTATAGATTTACTGAATTTTGATTCCTGCTTGTGGTTGTCTTGGCAGGGACAGACAAAATAACTGTGAGGTCCTTAAGCGGCCTGTGAGCCGGACGTTCCCACCTCTGCTATAATCCTCCTCTGCCCCTCCATCTTCGCTGGCACATGCTCTGTCACTTATCTACACAAGGGTAATCCCTGTGCTCTAGGTACACACAGCTGCTGGGAGTTTCCCAAACACCCATGCTATTTTGTATCTGTACATCTTCTTACACTATCACATCCATTTCCTCCTACTAAACTTCAAGCCCCCTTAAACACTCAGGGTGTACCTATCTATCTTTGTATTCTGCCACACATATTACACTACCTATCTGCAGCGGATACTTAATGAATATGTTAAACTGACAAATTATGGTTTTATTGCAAAGGCTTAGAATTAAATAAGTTTCTTTGAAATATATGTTGAGTTTGGCTCCTCAGAGCAGTGTAAGACTTGAGAGTGTGCCAGAACCACAGAAATGTGCTTTCTTCTGATAGTGGCCAAAAAAAGCAGCATATCTTTTATAAAATAAACCAGCATTTGGAATAAAAGTATAAACAGAAATAAATTTGCCAACTACATTATCAAATATATGTACCAAGTTTGTTTTTCTTCTTACTTCAATCCTGAATATTACTCTGCTCCAGCAACTCATTTTTGGTTTTATCTGTTTTTATACATAGTCCATCATTTTTATAAAAGAAACCACCACACTTACTAAATTTAAATTAACACAAGACTGCTATAATGGCAAATAAATTACTGGTGAATGCCTAATGTGAATTTTCCTCATTAATTTTAATTCTGAGTCAATTGCCTTACTCTGTGTGAAGCTAGCCTCTAGGTACTGGGAATATTTTAAAAGTTCACAGAAAATGAAATAAAAAGGTGAGTTTTAAACGAAGAGAAATCCATGCAGTTTTTTTTATAATAGGCACTTTCCACCGCCCTCCTGAGGACCTCTCATACATCCAAAAAGCTGAAAGCCCTATTGCTTGTGAATCCTACTTTCTCATGGGGAAAGACAAACAATTTATAAACATACAGCTAAACATAACAAACATGCCAGTTGGTGGAGTTGTAAAGAAAAATCAAGCCAAGTCAGAGACGACAGACACAGAAAAGGATTTAACAGGGGGTTTTCCGTTAGCGTGACATCACAGCAGAGACTGAAAGGAAGCGAGCCCTGGAACACTTGGTGGAAGATGGTACAGGCAGGCGGAACAGCAGGAGCAAAGGCCCTGAGGAGGCACATGGACAGTGCACTGAAGCACAGCGAGGTAGCCAGTATAGGGGAAGTAGACAAGGACAAGGTCAAAGACCAGAAGAGACGTGGGATTTCACGCCCACAAAGAAAGGCAAGTCAATGGAGAAGTATGAAAAGCTAATTAACAGGCCGGTGCCCTGGCTCACTAGGTTAATCCACCGCCTGCGGCACCAGTATTCCGGGTTCTAGTCCCAGTTGGAGCGCCGGATTCTGTCACAGTTGTTCCTCTTCCAGTCCCTCTCTCTGCTGTGGCCCGGGAGGGCAGTGGAGGATGGCCCATGCTTGGGCCCCACACCTGCATGGGAGACCAGGAGGAAGCACCTGGCTCCTGGCTTCGGATTGGCGCAGCGCCAGCCGTGGCAGCCATTTGGGGGGGTGAACCAATGGAAGGAAGACCTTTCTGTCTCTCTCTCTCACTGTCTAACTCTGCTTGTCAAAAAAAAAAAGCTAATTAACATAATTTGACTAATTTCAAAAGGATCACCTTGGCTGCTCTTCTAAATAGAACACTGGAGGCAGTGCAGGGGCGGGGTCCAAAGGTAGAAGCAGGAAGGTCAGATAACGGTGCTTCAGCAAAAATCCAGGTGAGAGATGATGGTGGCCTACATCAGGACTGTGTAGCAAAGGTGGAAAGAGGAAGTCCAGTTCTGGGCAAGACCTACAGGTGGCATCAGGAAGACGTCCTGATGTAGCACTGGGGTTTTTGGTCCCAGCAACAGGCAAAGAGAGGAGTCACTTTCTGAGAAAGAAAGAAGTGTGATTTTGGAGGTAGTTCTGATAGTAGTGACAAAGGCTTTCAATTGCTTAATACTAGCTTCTATTATCATTGCGATCATGAACTAAAGAAATAAGAGAGAAAAATCTATAAATGTTTACTACTGGTGAGAAGAAAATTTACAACTGCAGTTCATTTATATAGCAACTCAGTCACAAAAATGCCAGTGTGATAAAGCCCCAACACTACTTTCTCTACTTATCACCTAAGGGTCTTCCTGTAACCGCAAGTCCAACTTCCCATGCTGCTCTTCCCCAATCCCTCACCACCAAATCTCCAGAGGCTGGTCTCTCTGGGAACGTCAGGCCTTGCGATCCTAACCAACAACTGAGCCATTTAACGTCAGCAGGACAGGGGCTACTGAAGCTGTTCTGGAAGGGCAGTCAGGGAGAAGAGCATGGCATATCACACACAATGCAGATCACACCAGCAGAAGACACCGCAAAACACATAAAAAACCAAGCTCTGTGAAAAGCATGGTAAAACTGGAAAAAACAAAGGTAAGTTTCTGAGAAAATTAGTGAAAAGCACATTGCAGTTACAAATGTGTGTCTAAGCAGTGAACTCTTTGGGAACACAACCTCTTAAGAATTGCTATTCTAGAGGCTGATGCTTTGGAGTAATGGGTAAGGCATCGCCTGTGGTGCCGGCATCCCATATGGGCACTAGCTTGAGTCCTGGCTTGCTCCACTTCTGACCCAGCTCTCTGCTATGGTCTGGGAAAGCAGTAGAAGGTGGCCCAAGTGCTTGGGCCCCTGCACCTGCACGGGAGACCTGGAAAAAGCTCCAGGCTCCTGACTCTGGATTGGCCCAGCTTCGGCTGTTGTGGCCATTTGGAGAGTAATGGAAGACCTCTCCCTTCCTCTCTCTCTCTATGCCTCTACCTCTCAAATAAATCTTTAAAAAATAATAAAGAAGCAAACCAAAAAACCCCACATTCAATTATCCATAAACACTAGGTATGCCAACTGGTAAGCTCACTGTTCTCCAATGGGGCCACATCTCTTAGTTTAAATTTTTGGCTAAATTTACTTTTGGGGCTCAATTCTACAGAAAAAAAAAGCAAAAATTAAATAGCTACATCTCCCAGGAAGAGACCACTTACCTGATTTACATTTCTGATTATTCAAAATAAGGTTTTTAGGGCTGGCGCTGTGGCACAGAGGGTTAACCGCAGCCTGCAGTGCTGGCATCCTATGTGGGCACAGGTTTGAGTCCCAGATGCTCCACTTACAATCCAGCTCCCTGCCAATGTGCTTGGGAAAGCAGTGGAAGATGATTCAAGTCCCTGGGTCCCTGCACTCATGTGGAAAACCTGGAAGAAGCTTCTGGCTTTGGCCTGGCACAGCCCTAGCTGTTGCAGCTGTTTGGGGAGTGAACCAGCGGTTGGAAAATCTCTCTGTGTAACTACTTTCTCTAACACTACTTTCAAATAAATCAATCAATCTTTTTTTTTTTTTTTTAAAGTTCTTGTTTCAGCAAACCAGACATAGGAATAACTCAGAAAACATACCGTTGACTTAATGTTGGATGCTGCAGCACATGCTTCAGCCAGGTGCTTCTTATCACATTTCGAAGTTCATGGTTATTGCGAGCAGATAACACTCCAACTACCACATCATAGTGACTAGATGTCCACTGAGGTAATAAAGCTGATTGATCTAGAAATAAGCAAAAATAAATTAGAAATAGGTCACACCTCAGTAACCTCAATATGTAACATTAAAGAAAGTCTGTTATAATGGGCTTAGGTTTACAGAAAACACAAAGAAAAAATTTTAAAAGTTGGAAGCACTCCCACTGAGATCCAGAGCCAGACAAGGATGTCCACTCTCACCATTACTATTCACATAGTCCTGGAAGTTTTAGTCAGAGTCATTAGGAAACAAAAAAAAAAAAAAAAAAATCAAAGGGATACAAATTGGGAAGGAGGAAGTCAAACTATCCCAATTTGCAGATGACATGATTTTATATATAGGGGATCTAAAAGACTCTACTAAGAGACTATTGGAATTCATAAACGAGTTTGGTAAAGGGGCAGGATATAAAATTAAAGCACAAAAATCAACAGCCTTTGTATATACAGACAATGCTACAGCTGAAAAACAACTATTTTTTTATGATTTATTTTATTTATTTGAAAGAGTCACAGAGAGAGGTAGAGCCAAAGAGAGAGAAAGAGAGAGGTCTTCTATCTGCTGGTTCACTCTCCAAATGGCTGCAATGGCTGAAGTTGCACCAATCCAAAGCCAGGAGCTTCTTCCGGGTCTCCCACGCAAGTGCAGGGGCCCAAGGACTCTTCTTCTACCTTCCTAGGCCATAGCAGAGAACTGGATTGGAAGAAGAGCAGCCAGGACTCGAACCACTGCCTATATGGGATGCTGGCGCTTCAGGTCAGGGCTTTAACCCACTGTGCCACAGAGCTAGCCTTGAGAAAGAACTTCTAAGATCAATTTCACTCACAATAGCTACAAAAAAAATATTAAATACCTTGGAATAAATTTAACCAAGGACTTCAAAGATCTCTATAATGAAAATTACAAAACATTAAAGAAACAGAAGATAGATACCAAAAAAATGGAAAAACCTTCCATGTTCATGAATTAGAAGAATCCATAGCATCAAAATGTCCATACTACTGAAAGCAATATACAATTTGATTCCAATCAAAATACCAAGGACATTCTTCTCAAATCTAGGAAAAAATATACTAAAATTCATATGGAAACACAGGAGATTCCAAATAGCTAAAGCAATTTTATACAACAAAAAGGCATCACAATACCAGATTTCAAGACATATATAGGGCAGTTATAATCAAAACAACCTAGTACTGGCAAAAAATAGATGAGTAGACCAATGGAACAGAATAGAAACTCCAGAAATCAACCCATGCCTCTATATCCAACTTTGACAAAGGAGCTAAAATGAGTCCCTGGAACAAGAAGTGTCTTCAACAAATAGTTCTGGGAAAACTGGATCTCCACATACAGAAGTATGAAGCAAGACCCCTATTTCACATGTTATACAAAAATCAACTCAAAATGGATCAAATACCTAAATCTACAACCTGATACCATCAAATTATTAGAGAACATTGAGGAACCCTACAAGACAATGGCATAGGCAAAGACTTTTTGGAAAAGACACCAGAGACACAGGCAATCAAAGCCAAATTGACAAATGGGATTACATTGAACTGAGAAGATTCTGAACTGCAAAAGAAACACTCAGCAAAGTGAACAGGCAACTGACAGAATGGGAGAAAATATCAGCAAATTATGCAACTGATAAAAGATTAATATCCAGAATCTGTAAGAGCTCAAGAAACTCAACAACCACAAAACAAAGAACCCAGTTAAGAAATGGGCAAAGAACTTTAACAGGCATTTTTCAAAAGAGGAAATTCAAATGGCCAACAGACACATGAAAAAATGCTCAGGATCACCAGCCATCAGGGAAATGCAAATCAAAACCACAGTGAGGTTTCACCTCATCCCAGTTAGAATGGCTTTCATACAGAAATCAACAAATGCTGCCATGGATGTGGGGGAAATGTAAACTGATATAACTACTGTAGAAGATAATATGGAGATACCTCAGAAATCTGAATACAGATCTACCATATGACCCAGCCATCCCACTCTTGGGAATTTACCCAGAGAAAATGAAATCAGTAGATGAAAGAGTTATCTGTAGCCCCATGTTTACTGCAGCACAATTAACAATATTTAAGATATGGAATCAACCCAGATGTCCATCAACTGAATACTGGATAAAGAAATTATGGGATATGGACCCATGGAACATTACACAGCAGTTTAAAAAATGCAATCTTGTCATTTGCACAAAATGGATGCAACTGGAAACCATTATACTTAGTGAAATAAGCCAGTCCCAAAAAGACAAATATGTTTTTCCTATCTGTGGTAACTAATAGAGCTAAAAGTAATCTATAGAAGTAAAATTGACACTGAGATGCCATGATTTTGAACAGCCCTTGTCTCCATTGTTGAAATTTTTTTCATACTATTTGTTAACTCTTTACTTAGTGTAGGATTAATCTTATGTGTATAAAGTTAATTGAAAATAGATCTTGGTAAAAAATAATAGAAGAGGGAGGAGGAAGAAGGGTGGGACTGCAGGCAGGAGGGAGGGTAGGGTGGGAAGAATCACTATGTTCCTAACTTTGTATATATGAAATGCATGAAGTCTGTATACCTTAAATAAAAGGTTTCTAGGTAACAAAAATAATTTCATCACCCATAAACCCAGAGGATGTATTTGATCTAGCAAATAAGATGCCAGTTATGAGTAAGGTTTAGCATTTTGCCAGCAGGTTATTTTAATTATTATTTTAAAGATTTATTTATTTGAATGTCAGAGTTACAGAGAGTGGGAGAGAGAGAAAGTGAGCAAGCGTGTGCTCTTTCACCCCCTGGTCTATTTCCCAGATGGCCACAACTGCCAGGGCTGGGGCCAGGCTGAAGCCAGGAGCCAGAAGCTTTTTCCAGCTCTTCCATGTAGGCACAGAGGCCCAAACATTTGAGCCATCTTCCACTGCTTTTTCCAGGCCATTAGCAGGTAGCTAGATTGAAGTGGAGCAGCCAGGACACAAACCAGCACCCATATGAGCTCCTAGCATTGCAGGCAGCAGCTTCACCCACTATACCACAACACTGGCCTTTGGTCTGGCAGTTAAGACATTGGTTGAGACCACTGGCATACCATGTCAGTTCAAATCCTGGCTCTGCTCCCAATTCTAGCTTCCTGCTTATGCAGACCCTGGGAGGCAATGATAATGGTTGAAGTAGTTTGATCCCTGCCACCCAGGAAGGAGACCTGGATTGAGTTTCCAGCTCTCTGCGTTGGCCTGGCACAGCCCCAGCTATTGAGGGCATTTGGGCAGTAAACCAACAAATGAGAGCTTGCTCTAATAAATAAAAATTTTAAAGCCACTAGTTAGGACACCCATATCTCCATATGGGAATATCTGGGTTTCTGCCCCAGCTGTATTCCCAATTCCAGCTTCCTGCCAACTTGTAACCTGGGAGGCAACAGGTGATAGCTCAAGTGTTTGGTTTCCTGCCACCTGTTTGGGAGACCTAAATTTAGTTTCCAGCTCCTGGCTTTGGCCTGACCCAGCTTTAGCTGTTGTGGGCATTTGGGGAGTGGACTAGCAGAGGATGCTCTGCTCTCAAATAAATTTTTTTATTAACACTCATAAACCCATCATCCAGATATAACCACTATTACATTTTGGTGTAGTCTTTTAGTATTCCATGCATTTGTATGTATTTGTGCTCACATAACTATGTAAGTTCTTCAAAATAAGACATTCATGATAATAATCAGTTTCAAAAGGTAATGTGGCCGGCGCCACGGCTCAATAGGCTAATCCTCTGCCTAGTGTCGCCGGCACACTGGGTTCTAGTCCCAGTCGGGGCGCCGGATTCTGTCCCGGTTGCCCCTCTTCCAGGCCAGCTCTCTGCTGTGGCCAGGGAGTGCAGTGGAGGATGGCCCAAGTCCTTGGGCCCTGCACCCCATGGGAGACCAGGATAAGCACCTGGCTCCTGCCTTCGGATCAGTGCGGTGCGCCGGCCGCAGCACGCTGACTGTGGTGGCCATTGGAGGGTGAAGCAACGGCAAAGGAAGACCTTTCTCTCTGTCTCTCTCACTGTCCACTCTGCCTGTTTAAAAAAAAAAAAAAAAAGGTAATGTGACATAAATAGAATTGTAGGTAGTAACGGTCCATTAGCCCACAGAATCTTGGCAACTACAAAATAAGTTATAATACTTCTCACAAAGCTCTTGTAAACATTAAATGAGATCATGTGAATAAAGATTCTAGTTTGGTATCAGGCCAAATTAACAATTACAAATTAGCAATTAACAATTACAAAAAAATGTGGTATGAAAGATGAGGTCCTACATTAGTGTTCATTACTAAGCTTAGAGGATGAAGCTGTAAGACCTCTTTACTGGGAAGTATCAGGACTTTATTTATGTCAAAAACTCTACGGCCTGCAAACCTTGTATTACCTACTAAATATTCTAAAGAATGAAGGAAGAGAAGCAACATTCTTAGCAACAAAACAAAAAAATCAAGTAACAAGTCATGTGAATGGCTCAATTTTTTACTGCCATAAGCTCCAATGGGTAGGATTACATTTCAATTTCTAAAACTTGTCCTTAGAAAGAAAACAGAAAGATAGTTTGTCCTTGTTTCTCATCACCATTTTTAAGGCTTGAGAGCTACATAATTATATATGGCTCTGATGAGAAATCCATTTCATCTTTCTTTAGTAGTAGGAAATGATCCAAAATATCTCCAAAAATAAATTATTGAAGGCCAGAGATCTTTACTACATTAGCTGCAATGTTTTTATATGACACAGAATCTAGGTAGTCAGTCTAATACATACCAAAAACAGGTTGCTATGTTTTCAAAGGACCAATTAAAATTAACAAAATCAGGGAACAGAGTCTTACACTAGGATAATTTTAAAAGATTACTTTATAACAACAGGAACACAGGAATTTTTGCATAGATATTATTTTCTATCATATATATATATTTTTGACAGGCAGAGTGGACAGTGAGAGAGAGAGACAGAGAGAAAGGTCTTCCTTTGCCGTTGGTTCACCCTCCAATGGCCGC